ACCAAACCTAAAAAAATTCAATCACCAGTTGAGAAATTATTTTGGTGTTCCCCCCAACTTATAATTCCCTACGCATTTTGGATGTCTATGTTACCCTTGGCTTAAGCCTTATACTTTAAATAAACTTCAGCCCCGCGTCCCCACCCCCTGTGTTTCTACTTAGGTTTTTTTCTAAACTCATTATGGTCTTCATCAATGTTTTGACCCAACTAACTCTAAAAGTTTATACTCTCCCGAAGATGTGAAATTTTCTTTGAAAATAATTTTCCCTCTCAAAAAACTATTTTTTCTCTCATCTCAACCCCATTTTTCCTTCCTATCACTTGGGAAATTTGTGATAACCCACTCTTATTTACTAGCCAGCCCAAACCCACCTTCACCAATTGATCCGTAATTCAATATTGCCGTTTACCCTCACCTATTTACTGGTTAGGGAAAACACACACCCAATACAGCACCGTCCGTCTCCTCCCGGTCATTCTTCCTACGGATTCCACGGTTTAGGACTTTCTTTATCTTCTCCCTATTCCACTTCCCAAAATAATTCTCTCAATTACATATTCATCGTGGCCCACCACACATCATCCTCTTAGCTACCACCCCTTTTACACCCATCTCTCCTCACCTTTCTCATCCTCCAATTCAAGCAGTAATTCCCACAACACACCAAAAACTCCCCTCCCCCTCCCACCACCCACCACCACCACCCCCACCAACCGCCCCCACCACCAGATCCCAGAATAACATTATTTCGACCTCGTAAACCGTTTTGATATCTTTGCCTCACCTTTCCCCTGCGCATCACTCCCCATTACATTTAAACAAGCCCAAAATACCCAGAATGGAAACAAGCAATGCAAGCAGAATTTGATTTGATGCATTAATTCGGAATCAAACGTGCGCACTTGTTCCCAAGGCTTCTAACCAGAATATTGTTCAGTGTAAATGGATTTACAGGATAAAAAGGAAAGCAGATGGTTCATTTGATAGATGCAAGGCTCGCCTTGTAGCCAACGGATTTACTCAACGCCCCGGCATTGACTATCACTGCACTTACAGCCCTGTTGTCAAACCAACCACAGTCCGTATTGTTCTTTCTCTTGCTGTGCAAAATAATTGGGTTCTGAATCAGCTTGATGTCAATAACGCATTTCTCTAAGGGACACTTGAAGAAGAGGTTTTTATGTCTCAACCTCCTGGATTTGAAGATTCTACTCATCCATCTCATGTTTGCCGCTTGAGGAAGGCTATCTATGGACTTAAACAGGCACCTCGTGCCTGGTACAATGAGTTTACATCACATCTGCTACAACTGGGTTTTGTTAAATCCAAATCTGATCCATTCCATATTTTGATCCATCCTTTTTTATTTACCAAACACGCGAGGCATCATTATCTCTTGGTGTTATGTTGGTGTATGTGGACGATATAATTCTTACTGGCAGTGACACTTTGATCGTCAAACAGATCACTTCATCTCTAGCAGCCCGTTTTTCTCTCAAAGATCTTGGTCCCTTGAATTACTTCCTTGGCATTGAGGTTCATCGTAATGGATCTGGATTAATTCTCTCACAAGCTAAGTACATTTCTGAACTTCTCCATGATCTCAATATGCATGAGTGCAAGGGTGTCCAAACTCCGATGAGCTCTACTCAAAGTTTGCAGTTGAATGATGGCAGTCCCTCTCATAATGCCACTGAGTATCGACATGTAATGGGAACGTTACAGTACTTGTCGTTTACTCGACCCGATGTTGCCTTCTCTGTAAACCGGTTATCTCAATTCATGCACTCCCCCTCTGAATCTCACTGGAAAGCTGTCAAACGTCTTCTCCGGTATCTCAAACAAACTGCTCATTATGGTCTTCGTCTCACTAGTTGCAGCAACTTTACCCTCACTGTGTATTCTGATGCTGATTGGGCCGGCAACATTACTGATCGAAGTTCTACGACAGGATATCTTCTTTATCTTGGTCTTAATCCCATCAGCTGGTCTTCAAAAAAACAGAGAACCATTGCTCGTTCATCTACGGAAGCCATGTACGGAAGCTGCATATCGAAGCCGTTGCCCACCGGCTCTTGATGAAACAACTTGGGTTAAAAAACCTACTCAAAGAACTGCCGGTATCTTCTTGTCTCTCCCACCTACCCCATTTACTGTGACAATCTAGGAGTTACTTACTTATGTCCACATATCCTTGTTCCTCATAGAAAATGAAACATGTATGTAGATTTATTAGTCAGACAAAAAATTCCCAGATCAATCAGCTTCTGGGTTCAGTCATATTCCTAGTTCCAGATCAATATGCTGATACATGCTCACAAAAGCCTCCTTGTAAAGAACTCTTCAATCGTCACTTTATCCAAGCTAGGTTTTGTTCCACACCAATCTGCTTGAAGGGGGTAATATCAGCAAATTGTAATCTTTGAACCCGCCACATGATTTTGGTGTAGAGATATAGATTCTTTCTATTCTTATTTTGGTTTCTGTTTAGAGATTTTCCTGCTTGTTTAAATTCAATAAATCTTCCTCTGGTTTTAGGAGATTTAGTTGTTAATTCTTGTGTAAATTTCATAATTCAGTTTCTCAAATCGAAAAGTCATTCCTGAATTTCCTTTTGTTTATAGAGAGATGGCTTAATTGATCAGCTACATTGGCGGGTGCAAAAGAAGAAACGGTGACCAAAAAGCAGGTTATATTCAAAAGCTACGAGAATACACGTTCCCCTCAAGAATCAGACATGTATGTGAGTAGTGATTGGATTAAACTTCAAGTACCAGAAGGAATGAAGTTATTCTTAAGAATCTCTACTTGTCTTGTGATTGCTTCATGAGAAACCTAATGAAAAAAGCTGAACACCGCCAAATATTTCCCACTTATGAGCCTAGTTCGGTTAGTTAACTAGTTCTCTTTGACATGATACCAAACAAATGTAATATTTTCAACATGTTTTAGAAATATATGTAAACGTTTGTTGCTATTGTTTACTAATACGCAGCCTCTATATGGATATGGAGTGGCACAATGGTTCGGTTAGTTAACTAGTTATTTTTGAAATGATACCAAACAAATGTAATATTTTCAACATGTTTTAGAAATATATGTAAACGTTTGTTGCTATTGTTTACTAATACGCAGCCTCTATATGGATATGGAGTGGCACAAGTTACTGATAGGTGTTATTTTTATGATATTTTTAATATAGTTTTTATTTAGAATTTTAGTATTTTTAATTACTTTAATTATTTTTTTATTTAGTTTTACTTTTATTTTTGTTTAAAGCTTCCTTGAATCACATTTCGCTTGATCTTGAGGAATTTTATAGCATTTTTATAGAAAATCAGTCAAAAATGCAGAAAAGAGTGTGCCTAAGCAAAAAGGCAGGCACGCCCTGGGCGTGTTATCCAGCACTCTCATGCTGTGTTCAAGATAAATTCAACTGAGGTTCAAAGGCTAGCATGCCCCAGCCATGCCAGAGAGCACGCTAGTGCTAAAAGAAGCTGTTGATGTCTGAGCGTGCTCATCCAAGCACAGCCCATTCTATAACCACCTTGAGGACTCAGAGCCTAGCACGCCCAAGCAATGCCAGATAGCACGCCTGTGCTGAATACCAGATTTTACATTGGGCCGAGAACGTCAGTTCTAGCCCGTGCCGCTTGCATGGACTTGCGCGAAACGCTTTCTGACATGCCAATCAAGCTTAAAATCTATCAAGTCGCTGGGAGAATCCTAATTTGAAAGAATTACAAAATCTAATCAATTTCCTACCCTCAAACGATTTCTTCTTGATTAAAGATTCTTTTTCCTAAATGAAGTCGGAGGTTCCCCAAAAAGTCTATAGAAAGAGAGAGATTAGCTACGTTGAGGGAATGTTTTAATCTGTGGTTCTCTAGTTAATTTTTTTCTTTAAGACTTCAAGTGCTCAAGATTGGTGTTAAGATTCAAGGAAACCGTTCAAACCCATCGTTGACTAGTTTTTATTTCTAAACTCTATTTTTGTTTATTATTCTTTATGAGATTATTTACAAATTTAATTGTGTTTTATTTAATTACTATCCAGGCAGAGTTTCTCTCCTAAATTGATTTATTTCATTAATATTATAATTTGATGCGGAAACTATATGATTTGACCCATTTGGGGTTTTTCATAAGTTAACAATTTTAGATTATGAATTCACAAACAAACCATAAAATTTAATGATTTAATTCATGTTTGTGGAGAAAGATTTATGCAGACCCAGTATATGAGCCACCCAAATATTAAACTAATTAAAAATGATTTTTTTAGTTTAAATGAACGTATTTCTAATCATTTGCTTAAAAAAAAAAAGTTAAAGGAAACAATAATAACTTTTTAAAAAGCTCTTATAGATTAACTTAATATATAGACAAGCCTTATTTTAAGGGTCAACTTGCCATGTTTTAGTATAATACTTATATAGTCATTTGTTAATGAAGTGGATAAGAATAAGCGGACGTAGTCACCATAACAACCTTGAAAACTCTATGCATAACATAATGAACATGAACCACGCGGGAATTAAATAATTTTTTTAAAAAGAAAATAACTTCATTAACCAAAATATTCAGAATATAAACAAATAGGAACGTGAGCAACGCGGGAATTGAATAATAAATGACATAATAGCAAAAAATTTTAAAAATTGCTCACGTTGCAAGTAATAAATGATAAATAATGTAAAAAATTTATAAAAGAGAGATATATTCCATATGTAGCTCTTCAGCCAAATAAATATAGTTGATTCACATGTGGATGAAGTAGGTAACGTTAGGTATACATTTTTTTTTTTAAAGAAGATCAGGTCCGGTGAGTTGTCATCTGAATATATATATATACGTGTGTGTGTGGTGTTCAGTAGTTAATCTGGCAGTATATATATATATATATATATATACACCATGGACCCACCAGAAAGAGAAAGTCAAGTTTAACTTTTTTTGACTATATATATTGTCGAATTTATGAAATGTATGTAGAAACTTCATTTCTGAGTCTATGGTTGTGTTGCACAAACTACATTACAGTTGAGACTTGAGAGAAATTAATTAGCTTAGCGAATAGCAACAATGGATGGTGAAAGTGAAGAAATAGTGAGCAACAAACAGATTATATTCAAAGATTTCGTGAATGAAGGTTACCCTAAAGAATCAGACATGTTGGTGAGTACTGCTTTGATCAAACTCAAAGTACCAGAAGGAACTAATGGGGTTCTTGTCAAGAATCTGTATTTGTCCTGTGATCCATATATGAGAAGCAGAATGAGAGCCAAAATCGAAGGATACCCTCATGAGCCTTTTGAGCCTGGTTCTGTTATAACTGGAGTTGGAGTGGGTAAAGTTATAGAATCAAGGCATCCAAACTTCAAGAAAGGTGACTTGGTCTGGGGAATGACTGGCTGGGAAGAGTATAGTCTCGTTCCAACACCGACACCTCCGACTCTTTCTAAAATCCTTCACACCGATTTGCCACTTTCCTATTACACTGGAATTCTTGGTATGCTGAGTTTTCTTTTTTCTGTGTTTTTCTCTTCTGTTTTCAATTAGGTTGCAAGTCTGAATTTCAGATCACAATCTTGAAGATGGTTTAAATATCAGTAAAACAAGTATACCAGATTCTTATTGTGGATTTGTAATTTATATATAGGTATGCCTGGCCTAACTGCTTATGCTGGTTTTTATGAGATTGGTGCTCCTAAGAAAGGAGAGTATGTGTTTGTTTCAGCAGCTTCTGGTGCAGTCGGTCAACTTGTTGGTCAGTTTGCCAAGCTGACTGGTTGCTATGTGGTTGGAAGTGCTGGAAGTAAAGAAAAAGTGAGTTCCAATATTCCATTCATGCCCTTCCCAAGTTCTTCCATGCTATTTTCATTAAGCACGATAATAAATTTCATATTTATTATTTGTTTTTATTATTATTGCTCCATTATAAGGTCCATTTATTAAAGACTAAGTTTGGATTCCATGATGCTTTCAATTATAATGAAGAAAAAGACTTCAATGCAGCTTTGAGAAGGTAATTAAGTGCTTATTGTTTTGTATTTTATTTTCTTTATCAACATAAATATATAATAATCCAAACGACTTCTTCACAGGCACTTTCCCGAAGGAATTGATATATATTTTGACAATGTTGGTGGAAAGATGCTTGATGCAGTGCTTCTAAATATGAAATTTCAAGGACGAATTGTCGTTTGCGGATTAATGTCACAATATAATTTGAACCAATTTGATGGAGCGTACAATATCGTGGACTTCTTCACAGGCACTTTCCCGAAGGAATTGATATATATTTTGACAATGTTGGTGGAAAGATGCTTGATGCAGTGCTTCTAAATATGAAATTTCAAGGACGAATTGTCGTTTGCGGATTAATGTCACAATATAATTTGAACCAATTTGATGGAGCGTACAATATCGTGCAATTTGTACTGAAAAGCATCCGTATGGAAGGATTTATTGTTTCCAATTACTATCAGCTTTTTCCAGAGTACCTGAAAATTGTAATACCAAAAATCAAAGAAGGGAAGATTGTGTATGTTGAAGATATTGCTGATGGCATAGAAAGTGCTCCTGCGGCTTTTGTTAAGCTATTTACCAGCGGTAACGTAGGAAAACAAGTGGTTAAGATTGCCGATGAGTGATTATTATCTTCGTAGACTGTAGTATTAGGCAATCTTGTCTATTTGTAACCGTGTTTTGATTTTGACTCGTTTGGAATAAATTTACAAATGGATATCATGTTTGGAATAAATTTAGAATTGAAATTCATATTTATTTTTATTTTCTAAAATACCTTTCACATAATAATCTTAGAATGATAGATAGGTGAGTAGTTTTTTTCCTTCCGGATATGATAATTTAAATTTTGTACATATTCGTTGCTAATAAAAATTAAAACAAAAGCAATAATTCTTTATTTTTTAGTAGTTTATCATCAATGATAAAATGTCAACAAAATATGATAAGATTGGTTTTCTTGTAACGTGAAAAGTGTGGAGTTTTCAGTTTGAATCCTCTCAACGAGCAGCCATCAAATAGGTTGATTCGGTTTCCGGTTTAGTTTGATCGGTGGTTTTACATATCTTTACTCTCGAATATAAGGATTTTTATTAATTTAATGGGATAATAAGAGAGACATTTTATTTTATCAAATTATTGTAACTCATTGATTCTCCTAATGAATTAAAAGGAAAAAAAAAAAAGTTCATTAATGAATAAAATATCAGAGCCCATTCCAACTCAATTCTCTGAAGCCCAACCCAAAATTTGTTACACTAACCGTAAGGCCCAAGACAAAACCGACTTCGCATGTCCTCTCCCAATATAAAGCCATCCTTACCCAAACCTCTGTCGCAAATTCCCTTACCCTTCAATTGCTTTTGGGATTCGGAATTGTATAGACTCTAGTTCTTTTCTCTCGGGCTTTCAAATATTCTCAGATCCGGTCGTCCTTTCTTTCGATTAACCTAATCCACAATATGATGCAACAGCCCGGAGCCGGTGTAGTCCCTCAACAGATGCCGACGGATCAGCAGTACCAACAGCAAACGCAGCAGCAGTGGATGATGCAACAGCAGCAGCAGCCTGTTCCACCTCCTTCTGGTTGGACCCCGCCGCCTGTGCCTCCCCCGACTTACGGCGTGGCTCAGCCACAAGCTAGCGGCGATGGAGATTCCGCCGAGATCAAGTCGTTGTGGATCGGAGACTTGCAGCAGTGGATGGACGAAAATTACCTTTTAAGCATCTTCTCTTCCACTGGGGAGGTAATCTTTATAGATTAGTTTCAAGTCTCTATGCGTTTCATGTTTTTAGGTTTGATTTCTAGGAAGTGGATTTTGTTTTTTTAGATGCAAAAGGGTATAATGTTTTTTCTTTTGACGGCAAGTATATTATGCCGTAATTTACTGAATATGGGTTTTACATGAAAATTGTGATATTTTTCTACTATGGCTATATGTATAATGCATGTGTATATAAATAAATGAACTGGATTAAATGTGAGGCAGCATTTTATATCTGTAGCGATGACCTTGATCTAGGTGGATGTGAATCTGTGTTGATTTCAATTCTTTCTATTACTTGCTTTTTTTTTATGAGAAAAAGCAAGAACGTGTTAAACGAACATATTTCCTTTAGAGTAAGGAAATTTACAAACGTGTACTTAGTTATCTTAATGCGATTGGATTTTAATATTATTGTCGGTGTCTTGCAGGTTGTTTCAGCTAAGGTTATTCGGAATAAGCAGACAGGCCTTCCAGAGGGTTATGGTTTCATTGAGTTTGTTAGTCGTGCAGCAGCAGAGAGGATCTTGCAGACATATAATGGTGCCTTGATGCCAAATACTGACCAGACTTTTCGGCTGAATTGGGCCACTCTTGCGGCTGGTGAAAGGCGGCAAGATGATGGTCCTGATTTTACAATTTTTGTTGGAGATTTGGCTGCTGACGTCAATGATTACCTATTACAAGAAACATTTAGAAATGTGTACACAACTGTTAAAGGTGCAAAAGTTGTCACTGACAGGCTCACTGGACGCTCTAAGGGTTATGGATTTGTGAGGTTTGGTGATGAAAATGAACAAAGACGAGCCATGGTTGAAATGAATGGACAGTATTGTTCCACTAGGCAAATGCGGATTGGGCCAGCTGCTACAAAGAAACCTGTAGTACAGCAATTTCAGAAAGGTATGCCATATATTTGTCTTTATTAATCTAGGTAACGTTGTTGAATGGGAACGTAGCTGTTTGATTTTTATGTGTGGAATGTAGCTGATTGCTTGAATTACTTTACTTATTTGCTCATTTTTCAATTGATTTTGTTCAAACAGTGTTAATTTGCTGTGCTTCCAGTTTTGATCTTGAAGATAGATGCAATATGAAAAGTCATTTCCTTCCAGTACTTACCTTTGTAAACTTGGGCACATTTAATTCCCGTTAAAACATGCATAATCTTATATAAACCTCATGTTGTCTTAAAGCAGGACACCAAGAGGCTCTCATTTTCGGGGGCCTGGAACTGATTTCAGCTGAAATGATTCCACTTAAATGCGTGGCCTCATTTTAGGTCAGTTACTTTGTTTACGTCATAAGTTTACTTAATTTTCTTGTGGCGATTTGCTACATTCCAGAATTACATTTTCAGTTCCTTACATTCTAAGTTTTACCGCTCAAGTTAAATTTGCACCTTCTTTTTATCCAAAGAATAGTTTACTTCCTTTCCAGTATACCTTAATTTATGTTTTATAATAAGATACGTCATTTATTTCTTCATGTTTCAGTTACTTTGCAACTGTTTATTTATGGGCTGCACCTTTAGATTTTTATAAATTTTATTTGATATTCTACCTCATAAAGGATCTTAGCTTTGAATGCTCATTCAAAATGCTAGAAATCAGTTGGAGTAATCATACATAAAAGATGTTTCTATTTGGCTGGTGATTACTTAAGTTGCCCCTTCTTAGATTTGTAGTTGTTCTACAGCACTTCAGTCTCCTCCACCCTTCTTTTTTTTATCCGCAAGATACTTGCTTTCCTATAGCTTCTTTTACACAACTGTTAATTATTGATCTGGACTTAAATTTTGAAGTTGTGACTTTATAACATCAAGGAACTAGTGTGAGGATCATTATCTCCCAGATATTTTAGTAAGATGTGATAAAATGAACCTAATGAACCTAATCAACATGAAGTATGGGATGAAATGATCATTCTGTTCATATTGATTGGATGCAAAATTAACTATTAATGTTATGTGGTGACAATTTTCTTAATTGCCTAGTAACTTAAATTCTGTTGAGGCCTCTCATTTGGTTTGAACTTTGGACATGTTATGGTTTTGACTTCTTTTGGCTAAAGGTACTCTCTCCTAATTGCATCCAATCTTTTTTATGCTTTATACTTCTTTTGGCATATAGAATACATGTGCAATACAGAATATCTGAAACTATACTTCTATCTTCTTGATGTCCATCCCAGCTCTTTGGTTATTGTGTGGTTGTAAGATAGATGTTTATTGTTATTGTGTTTGCTTAAAATGTGGTCCTGTCTGATTATTATCTTAAGGAAATTATGTGTAATCATTTTAAGTTGAATTTTCTACTTCTCTGGTTTTAACTGTTTTTCTTAATTCTGTTAAGTTGCCTGAAAACAGTGGCAATGGGATGCTGTTTGTAATTGGTGCACTTGAAAATTATTATTTGTGGTTGTTTATAGCTATGGTAACTGATTGTGCGATGTTTTGCAATGATATTCTCTAAATTGTTGTCTTTATCAGGGACAGCACTAGTTCTTTGTTTTTTTGGGTGGGGGATGATGGTGATCACATTGTTAGTGATCATGTTGTGCTCATACTACATGTTTCTTCCATGTTAAGAACTTCCAGCTGTCCTCTGGCATCTTTGAGGCTACACTCGATTTATGCATGACTTTTATTTTTCCATTATGATTCTATTCCCTTTTTATTTTATGTTTATTCCTGGTTTGCAGCTCCCTTTCAGAATACTCAAGGAAGCCAGGGCGAGAATGATCCAAATAATACAACAGTGGGTAGTTTGTTTTACTGTTGAAATAGGTTGCATCCCAGTCGAAACAGTCAACTTATTACTTCTCTTGAGTGCAGATATTTGTTGGGGCATTGGATCCTAGTGTTTCAGATGAGCATTTGAGACAAGTGTTTAGTAAATATGGGGAGCTAGTGCACGTGAAAATACCTGCGGGCAAGAGATGTGGGTTTGTTCAGTTTGCTAACCGGTATGTGAAAATAGCTGCTTAAAATGCTGTTTCATACTTCTTTTCTTGCTATTGTGTATGGGTCCGTGATCTGGATATTTTTCTTTTTAGAGCCTGTGCGGAGCAAGCACTGTTGATGTTGAATGGAACCCAGTTAGCAGGACAAAGTATTCGACTTTCATGGGGGCGTAGTCCTTCAAACAAACAGGTTTTGTAACCTTCAAAATGTATTTGGTTTCCAGTGCTCATTTTCATGTATTTTGCAAACTCAAAATGGATCCATTTTTATATCCAGGCATCGGCTGATCAAAGCCAGTGGAATGGTGGATATTATGGATATGCACCGGGATATGAATATGGATATGCTCCTCCCCAAGACCCTAACATGTATTATGGTGGCTATCCTGGATATGGGAACTACCAGCAACCAGGAACTTACCAACAGCCGCAGCAGGTCTACCAACAACCGCAGCAGGCAAGTTGAACTTGAGCTGCAAAAGTTGATTGTTAAATCAATTAAATTAGAGTATAGATCTATTGGAACACTTATAAAAGGAGGTTTTTGTTTAAAACCATACTGCAAACATATTTTTCTGATGACGCATGTTCAAGCTTTGTCATTTATGTTGTATATTATTTCGGTTTTTATATGCTTGATTATTGTGCAGTGATCTAGTTTTCTGTTACTGGATGAAGGACGAGGACTGGCCCTAATCCTTAGCATCACAACTTGAGGTTGCAGTTTGTTCAATCCTGGCAGGCTGTTGAACAATGCTTCTTGGTGTTTGGAACTAGGCTTTTCAATGCCGTTTTGTTTTTAGGCGTTAGTTTTAAATGGATATGGGTAGTGTGTGTTGAGGCATCATGCAGTGAGCATTACTGCACTCCAATATTATTGTGATACACAATGGATTTGCCATTAATTGCTGTTGTGCTGTGTGAATGCAACTTTATACTTTTAATTACTATGTTATTGTGCTGACTTTGCATTTGCATGGTCTCTTGTTTTTCTTTTTTCTCGAAAAAAAAAAAATCCAATTGATTTTCTACAACCCGGAAGAAAGGAGAAACGAACTTTTAACTTTTTTATGGGGCTGCCGCCTTGGTTGATTGCAGGTGGAAGTTGAATTGTCGATGGTTTTAAATATGGGTGGCATTTCATTTTAGTTAGTTTTGCTTTAACCTCGATGGAAATATCATCTTTGTTAAAAGAAAGAGTATATGACACATGCAATTTAGAGACTGAATGTTACAGCTGAATTGGGGGAAAATAAAGTTACGAGTGGCCAACTATTTAGAGGAAAGCGTCTATGGGGTTATTTTAGTCATAACGTCATTTTAGTGGTAAAAAATTTTCTATTCGTTTTATTTTGTTTGTTATTTAATATTTACATTTTATAATTGTTCATTAAATAAAATATTTTTATTAATATTTTAATAAATTAAAGGTAAAAAATGATAAATGATTTTTTTTAACTAAATTTTTAATGTTTATATTTTGTCAAATTATCCTACAAAATGAAAAGGAGTATTCTCTTCTCCTAATATGGGTTTGTCATTCAGTTCTTGAGATTAACAAAATTTAATTGATACATTTTCATTATATGTTTATCTTTATTCTATATTTTGGAAAAGGAAATCCTCACATAATAAAATTTAAAATGATGCAAATTTTGTAATTATATCTTAAAAAATAATGAATTTCTTGCGATTTACTATTATTTATTATTTGTATCTTTTAACCCGAGCCGTGAAATGTAAATCAATAGGTTTTCCTCGAAAGAAGATAGGAACGAACTTATTACACAAACTGCACCATGTGAATCCCTTCATTTTTTTCTGGTTGATGTTAAAGTTTTCAACATTTACTGTGACAACTAATAATTGAAGCAAAACGGATTACCCAGAAAATTAAATTAATAGAACCAAATGACAACTTTTTCCTGGCTTATACACTCTCCACCTTACTGACAAAAAAAAAAAAAGAAATTGGAACATAGTATGGTCATGTATTCCAGATGCTAGAAAGGGTATAAGAACTACCGACTTGTGATTGCATCAGGCAAAAAAAGAATCCATGGAATCTGTGAGTTCACATAGAGTTCAGTAACTTGAGAGCTAGAGCTTCTTGCTCTGCTAGAGAAATAGAATCAGTATTCACTAGGTTCTCTCTCTTCCCTACTGCGTTACCATCGTCATTGTCGCTATCAAAATATATCTTCGTCCTCTTGCGGTTCCTGTCACCTATTCTTTCCCCCTCTGACCCAGAAAGATCATCTTCATTATCCTCTTCCTTTTCTTCTGCAGTCTGTTTCTTCCGCTTCATCTTTTCCTTGGTTCGTTTCTCCCGGCGACGCTGGCGGTCCAGAAGCTTATCCTCTTTGTCTGCTTGTTTTAAATCTTCCCTTGCCTTCTTATAATATTCCTCTCTTTTGCCTACAAAATAGACAGATTAAGCAAATGACACAGATATCTAATGTGAGATCACAAACTGTCAACCTGACCATCCCCAGTTGATTTGGCTAGGAAGAAAAGCTCAGCAAATGCATTTGAGGAACTAACACTTCACCAACAACTACTCGTATATACACATAGATAATGAAAAATGATCAGATAATTGGTTATTTTGCAGCTGCAACACAAGTAGAACCATTCAGGGGCTGTTCATGGTTGACAATTTAGAACTATCAGTATTTACCTTGATCAAGTAGAGATGAAATATCGACATTCCTGGCATCACCTATCCTTGCAAGTGGAGGACGTGTATTGCCTTCCTCATCAAAGACAACCTTTTTTCCTGACGGCCTATGGATATTAATCTTCAACTTCTTTTTCTTCAAAACTCGAGTTGCAGGTCTGCAAAACAATTAAAACAAAGATTATATATATATTAGAAAAACAGCCATGCAATTCTATGACAGATCACAACAGGATACCCCATGCAATTGTATAAATTTTAACTGGAGAATCATCATTCGAGTTAAACTTGAATATTCAACTTTTTGCATGCTGTAACCTTTATATCTAAGGTTCATATCTAAACATAAATATTCTATAAAAGTTTCATACATGACAGACTCAAGTTCACTTGCTTTTGGTTCACTTCCACATTCAGAACCCTTAGCTAGCAGAAGTTCACTTTTTCCCACAGTTTCTTCCCCAAAATCACCAATATCTAGCTTCTCTGAATGTCCTCCCGAATCTTTTTCACTGAATCCACCACTTGCTGGATCTGCATTATCCTCATCATGACTGTCCAATTCAATTTGTACTTTCTTCTTTCCCTTAATTTTCTGATTCAGAAAACGGAGTTTCGGTGTCATCGGTAGACCCATTGAGGCAGAAAATTCATCAATTGGTAGCTGCATTACATCAAACACCTCCTTGTCTTTTTGAATATAGATGGACCGGATATATGTTATGAAGGCCCTTTTAGCCAAGTCCTGCATATCTTTATCTTGGACCAGTAAAGCTGACAATAAACCAGAAACTGGTTGCAATCTTTTAGTGTTTGCCTGAAAATTAGCAGACAGGAAAAAAAGCATGGTTAGTATCAATCAGTTGATGATGACAAGGAATTGGACATTATAAATGTGAGATCAAGCTAAAAAAAAAAAAGAAGATGAATGATTGAGATGATTGTTCTTTTCTTTTTCTCTTTTTAGTTAAGTCGCCTACCTTGATAAACTGTATAGGTACTTTTGCTTCTTGTAATTTTTCAAGCATTTTCATTTCTGAAGGTGTCAAAAATAACACCGACCTTCCTCCAGATTGATAGCGAGCAGTGCGACCAACCCTATGTATGTAGGATGCAACATCTTCAGGACAGTCCACCTATTGAAATCAAATAGTTTTAAGAATGAATTGTACATTTTCCACTTCATGAAAATCAAAATTAACCAATTTCTGACCTGGACAACCCAGTCAACTGCCTTATTAAAATCAAGGCCTCTTGATGCCACATCAGTTGAGAAGAGAACTGAACGCTTCTCACAGAATTGGGAATAGATTACCATCCTTTTCCCTTGCTTCATTTTTCCATGAAGACACTTCAACGGAATCCCAGGCCGCAATTTCTTAAATGCTTCATAGACAAATTTCACCTGTAATAACACAGAACTCTCAGGCTATAGAGAAGAGTAAAACCTAGAATAAAAAATTATAATATACACAAAAAACTTGGAAACAAATAAGTTGTAGACCTTTGGGAAAAAGGGGGGAAAATGGGAGAAGCAAAAGAAGCCTCGTTGTTTTTGATAGAAAGGAGCATCTTATTACAATATAGAGTTGCCTCGTGATAGACCACATACAAACATGTTCAGACATACTGAATTTCAAAATGATTAATTCCCGTTTTTTGCATTGCTTGGGAAAAGTTGCAAAATTTCTTGAATCTGTTTTGAATAATTTAAAGCAGGACAATATGTAAGGAAGTTTAGATAATGTAAAATTACGATTTTAAAGTAGGCTAGATCAACTCATACCTAGGGTTAAGAATTCACCAAGAGTCATGACCACCAGGAGAACACCATAGTCATAATAAGCAACAACATTTGCTGCCCTACTACTAAACAGAACGTCAACTACCATAATACCATTAACATCATTGCTAACACCAGTGCCACCACTAGTAAGCGTAACACCATCATCATTATTATTACTAAATCCTTTAAAAATAATCAACTAACAAAGGTTTGAAACTTTAGAATCATTATAATATGATTTGCAGACAATATAAATGATCAGTTTACATCATCAGAAACAGTTGTTGTAAGCAATAACACCAGTAGATCTAAATGAGGGAGTACTCAAACAATCGAAAGACATAAATTTTGGAAACAAAGGAACATACTAGATTACAGTAATGTAATTGTAAAGTAAATGATTTATATACAAGTGACAATCAGAATATACTAAGTGAGCAAATTTGAAATATGGAGCCATAGTCACTCCTAGCATAATCATGCACAAGATCAAAGTGACCTTAGCAAATCTGTCATCCAGAGACTACATTTTTGTCTCATTTACAAAAAGATGTGAAATTACCTGTTTGCAGCTTGAAAGAAATACCAGAATCTTCGAATTAAGATGTGCCTTAATAAAACTCCATAACATGTCCAGCTTTTGCTCAAGAGGAACTATCATTGCAGTTTGCTGCAAGCGACTGGGAGTTGCTGTTGTAGATTTCTCATGCACACCAACATACTCTGGATCCTTTAAACTAAGCCGTGCAAGATCATGAACAGATTTTGTTTGAGTTGCAGAGAAAAGCAAGGTTTGTCTATGCTGAGGTAGCTGTGAAACAATTGCATTCAAAGCCTTCTTAAAGCCAACATCAAGAATCCGATCTGCCTCATCAAGGACTAAAACCTGTTTCCTAGCAACAAAATTACACCCAAATCAGCTAGAAAGAACAGGATATTCAATGCAACTTACCCAGCAAACAAGGCTCACCACCCATGAGAGGCTATCGTAGAAAGGGCAGGAGCAAGAAGAGCAAGAAGAAGTTGGTCATAACGATTCAAAAGGCAGAGGAAAACAAGACAATAATACACGCTCATTCATTCAAGTGTATGAATAAACCCAATAATAGCATGGATATAAATTGACACCAGGGAAATAATAAAAATAGAATGTATGCTTCAGATCACCATGATGTTTCTGATGAGCCAGCAAGGCACCACAAATAGACACGACAGCAATTTACAGACCTTTTGTTCTTGTATCCGTGGTTTGTAGAAGAAATTTATTATAAGATAAAAAGGAAACCAAGAAGCATAGATACAAAATGAATTGTGAAAAATGCAACTGTGACCTGAAGTTGTGAACAATCAAAATTTGGAGTCTCATCCATGTGCTGAAGAAGCCGACCAGGAGTACAAACCAAAATATTCAGCTCATTAACCCGCTCCTTCTCAGTATCAACATCCTTGCGGCCACCAATTAGGAGGCCAGCACTAAAATTATGGTATTTTCCTACAGCTTTCAATACATCAAAAAGTTGACCAGCTAACTCCCTTGTGGGAGATATTATGATGCTGCCTACCCCGTCTTGAGGTCCCCATCTCTCTCTATGTAACTTCTCCAGAACCTGAAATACAATTAGACATATTAAGGGGTAAAAAAGAAGGGAGAAAGAAGATTCCTTCATGCAGTTATTAAGAAATGCTTCGACTAACTAATGCATGGTTCAAGGCGAGATAAAAAGACAATATTCATTCACATTTACCTACCAGAAATTAAAATTAGAAATCAAAATAATTCCAAGTAACCACATTATGCGTTCTAAAATTACTCATACATAAGGTCTTCTGTTCCCTAAAAATCAATTAACAAATAACTACAATCATAAATGCATATGAATAGATATGAAAGAAATTATCCTAATCATAACAAAATGCCCTTTCACTTATGCAAACCAAAAAATAATAGCGCAGCTGCCAAATCCAGAAAATGAGTTCCCAAATTTTAATAAAGAAAAAGAGAAGAAGAACTCACAGGTATAACAAAAGCCAAGGTCTTTCCAGACCCAGTTTTAGCAGCACCAAGAATATCTCTCCCACAAAGCGCATGAGGCAAGGAGGCTCTCTGTATCTCAGTCATGGAAACATAATGAGCTTTCTTCAATCCATCTATTGTTTTCTTCGATATAGGCAATTCGCTGAACTTGGTAGCTCCTGGGTAGCGCGAGAAAGTGCCATCTGGTAGGCGTCCAATCGGAGCATCAGATGGAAGAGGTGGAAGAGCCAAAGGATTAGACCCGGATTCAGGTTTTTGGGACTCGATCCATTCATTCAATAACGAAATTTCTTCCACTTCTACTACTCTGCGCTGCTTGCGCTGCGTTCTAGACTTGGATTTCGGCTTCCTCATTTCGTTTGTTGTTGATTGGGAGTATGGATTTTCAGTGTTTAAGATAGAAAACAGAGATTTACGGTTAGATATTAAAGAGTGTTTGGTTGATCGGAGAATAGGAATCGGAAAAGATGACAAGTCAGGCGAGTTAGCTCACAGACAGAGATGGAGACATTACCAGAGGGTTTAGGGTTTTTGCGGAGGTTTTATTATTTTAAGAAAAACAAAAAAAAAAAATGGCTAGTAACATTTTTATGCCACGTCAGTGGCCAGTTTTAGAGATCTTGACAAGTGTCTATTTTGGATCCACGATTTTTAACCGCAAGTAATTTGTACAAACGACAATCAATCCAGAGGGATAAGTTTCCCATCCGTTAGCAGACGACAGGATGCGTTTTTTTCTCGTCTGATTTTCTGTCAAAAACGGCAAAGAACAAATTTCTAAATTTCAATAACCCAAATACAAAAACTTCAAAAATCCTAATCCACTAATCAACAATGCCTTCTAGTACAAGCCCTTTATAAATGAGTAATTCAATAGCAACATAATTAGTGAGGAAAAACTAATCTACTAATTATTTTCACATTTAATTATTTATACTATTTCACTTTAAATGTATTTTTAAAGTTGTTTTCTTAATATTCTAAAATGACAATTTGAAATAGAATAAAATAAATAATTTTAAAAAATACTTATAATGGAAAGAACTCATTTTACACTTAAAAGCTTCCCTTAAGAGATTGATACGACACGAAAGAATTAAGAAATTAATTTATTTTTAGAAAGAAAAATGACCTATAATTTATAAATTAAAAATTAAGAAATTAATTTATTTTTAGAAAGAAAAATGACCTATAATTTATAAATTAGAAAAATGACCTATAATTTATAAATTAAAAATTAAGAAATATTTATTTTTAGAAAGCAAAATGACCTATAATTTATAAATTATAGTAGATGAATAAGAAAAAAGAAAAATGACCTATAATTTATAAATTAAAAATTAAGAAATTAATTTATTTTTAGAAAGAAAAATGACCTATAATTTATAAATTAAAAATTAAGAAATTAATTTATTTTTAGAAAGAAAAATGACCTATAATTTATAAATTAAAAATTAAGAAATTAATTTATTTTTAGAAAGAAAAATGACCTATAATTTATAAATTAAAAATTAAGAAATTAATTTATTTTTAGAAAGAAAAATGACCTATAATTTATAAATTATAGTAGATGAATAAGAAAAGCAAATCTTAGTAATTAATTTTTTATTTAGTAATTAATGAATCTAATAAGAAAGTTGTTTCATTAGAAACGTAATGCATTGGAATGATTAGCAAAGAGCACTTGTAGAGTTGATCACCATGATTTAGATCATAGATTTGATTTCCGCTTCTTTGCCTTCGAGAGCGAGTATAAATTAGTTAGATTTGTGGACCGTTAAACGTACAAGAGCTTGGATGCCTAATGCAAATATCAAGAAAATACATTGAAAATAATAAAATTTACATTTTTTTTTTGAGATATAATATATTGATATTAATATTAGGTTTTTGTTTTCAATAAAGAATCAAATGGAAAACAATAATGATAATAAGGTATATTGCAGTACTTTTGAAAAGTGAAATGACTTATAATTTAAAACAATGGAAAGTAAAATAAGCCGATCTTTGCAAAACGCGGGAGCAAAATTTTAACAAATGTAATTAAAATGTAAGGAAATACTAATATGCCCTTCTTTATCTAGAATGATTAGTGATTAGAAAATATGTGAATAAGTATATTGTTGAAATAATATTAATTACTTCTTTTCAAAAAAAAAAAAAAATTTTTTTCAGTTCTCCTTAATCAAGGTTTTCATTTTCACAAAGATTTAAGAAAATACTGATAATATAGTTAAACCAAATTTTTTATTTAATTTTTCTCGAATACACATTTTCATTCCGCTACAAGTGTCCTTTAAGGTAATTGCGTGACAATTGAGGAAATTGTTAAGCAACTTTAATTTTTTTTTTTTTTTTGTAGTTTAATTATCCATTTACTAATTCTCTGGATAATAATGTTTAACAAAAGACAAGGGTAAAGTTGAGAAAAAAAAATTGTACTTTTTGAATATTCTAAAATGAAATGAAGTGGGAAAAAAAAATTAAAAATGGGAGATAGCTAACATCGTTGATCTATATTTCAAAAATTTTAATTGGTAAAAGATATAAAATTAATTTAATTGGTCTTCTCACAAATATAAAAAATATTCAAATCTTCTCAATATAAAAATTTTTATTTTTATTATATAGTTTGTCGGATTATTTTGACGTGTCTCACATTGAATAAAAAAAATTAACCTTTAATTTGAAAAATAGAATTTCCGAAGGTGCAAATTTCTCTGTTTTATGGTTTGTATATAAAGTAAATGACAAGAAAACCGCCTTAAAAAAGAAAAGAAAACAGAGAAACGATCGCACAGTAGGAAACGCATTACCAATTCTCTGTCGTATCTTTGTTTCAGCACTAAACAGAAACAGGACATTACTCACTCCTTAGATCTTCCCTTTAATACAAAAAGATTTTGCAAACGCCATTCGTGAAACCTCTTGCGTCTGTTGATAGATATATTCGAAGCTTTTATAGAGAGATTTTAATTGGAAAGAGCGAGATAGAGAATAGGCTGATGGGTTATAAAAACAGAGCAGAAACAGAAACAGAGAATTGTTTAAGCGACGCTTTGTTGTTTGCTACCATGTGCATAATTGGACTCCCCGTTGATGTCCATGTTAGGGATGGCTCTGTTTATTCTGGAATCTTCCATACTGCCTCTGTTGACAAAGACTACGGTGCGTTTTCTTTTCTTTTTTTGTTTGCAAATCCCTGAATTTATAGTGGCCTCTGTTTTTTGGATTAACAATGTATATGGGTTATGGTTTTTATGAGGAATTTGTACCCCGGTTTTAGATTTGGTTGAGAAACTAGATGATATTGTTTAGTTTGGATGGGATCAGATTGAATTGCGATCTGGGTTTATGCCAATCCTGGATAATTTTTCCTCAAGACAATCTGAAATTTCAAAATGGGGATTTTTTTTCTTCCAAAATTTCAGTAATTTAATGGAGTTCTGTTCTGTATATTGTGTAGGTATTGTGTTGAAGGAAGCTAAACTGACTAAGAAGGGGAAATATGATGCAAATGTGGCTAATGGGAGTGTGATAGAAACGCTTGTAATTCTTTCAGGTGATCTTGTTCAAGTTGTTGCCAAGGTGAGCCACTTTTTCTATTTTAGATCCTCGTTTGTAATGTGGATTCAACATTGAACAATCTGTCCAATATGTGTGGGGATTTGTCTATAGGAAATTCTATTCGCAGCTGACGGTATCACGGGAAATGGAGCTAGCGATGATGTAGAAGCTTCTGTGGCCAATGTTTCCTCTTGTGAGGTTGTAATGTGTGAGGCAAAGGAATCTAATAGGTCTGATGTGGACAAAAAGAAAATTCACCTGAACAGGTATTGCCTCGCATGAAGTTGGATTATTGATTACAGATTTTCAAATTTGTTTGCTAATGCTAATAAGTTGAAGCTTTGTATTAGGTTACCTTCTTCATCTTTTTTGTATTGTTTTACTCGTTAGCTTTTAAGTGCGGGTGCAGAAAGCTTATCTTATTCATGCTTTACTTATGACTAATATTGCATTATTTTAGGCATGCTTTACTTATGATAAAGATTGCATTAAATTATGTACTTGTGAAGGTAATTCCAATTGAGATGAAAGGACGGAATAATTAGTGGAATTTCTCATTGTAGGTATGATTACATCAGAATTGATGACCTCATAATGCTAAAACTTCATGGCCAAACAACATCTTCCTTATTGATGTCTTTGAATTGCTGCCAACTAAATTTCTTTTACAAATTTGAAGCCAACTATGGACATCCATGTTACTGGCATGCTCTTTCATTCAGAAATTCAGAAAATTACAACTGAGATCTTTAGTACCTAAGACTATACTTTTAGTGGACTATATTAAATGGAACGATGTACTTACTGTACTTGTTGCAGTAGGATTTCAACCAAAAACAAGAATAATTCTGATAACGGTCTCATGCCAACAAAAGCTGGGAAGGAGGAAGGGAGAAAAATTTCAACAAATCATACAGAAACTGCCACAGAAGTTGAACATGGGAAGATAAATGGGGTAAATATCTTAAAGGTAAAGTTCATTTGACCTATCTAGATCTTTTTTTTTTTTTTTTTGGTTTAATAGGGAAAGTGTTTTTACAAGCATGTCCTGGTATTCAAAATTAGTTTCTCTTCAATATCGGAATTGTGATGAGTATCTGGGTTATGAAAGACAAACTACTCGCTGAATTAGGTACCTAATATATTGAGTACCAAACTTGTTTTTTAAGACTGTTGGGCTTGCTCTAAAGCCTCCTATATCCTAAAATAGATCAAATCAAATGGTTTGGCTTATCTGATGAATTGATATATAGCCCAGTTGGTCTTGACTCCTCAGTGCTAGTATATAGCTTAAATGAGCCAACATGGAAATCTAATTCCTCAAATGGGAGTATAGTGGCACACTTTCTAGGATGTTTTTTTCATTTTTTTGTATGCGTGCGTGCACATGTGAGAGTGAGGGAAATATTCGTATCCGTCAGTTGTTCTTTTTCTAAAAAGGATTTATTTGATTTACCTTTCTCATTGCAGAGTGAAGAAGCATCAGATGCCTTAGTTATTGGAAGGTACAATTTACATACCTTCTCCAAGTTTTAGTGCAATACTTAATGGTTTTACTGATGGCTGCACTTAGCTTTGGTTCTTAGCATTCTGTGGTTTCGTACTGGCATTATGGGAGCTTGCAGATTCTGGCATGAATTTTCTGCATATTTTCTATATTGCTAATTATTGCTATTCGTTTTTTAAGACATATAGCCAAAGTGGTGTCTATATTCAGCAATTGATTTGGTTTTAAATAATTACCTTAGAATTATTTTTCATTTAAATTCTTTCTAATTTCGGATTCCTATCTATTATTTTTCTGACAGACAGATTGGAGATGATGAGTCTCAGAGGGAGCAGGATCATCAGAAAAAGAAGTTTGGGCTTCAAAGGAAAACGAGTGTATGTCATTACTGCAACAAGTTATTTCCTTGTATAGGATATTGGATAACTAAGATTAGAAAGTGATCTTTGTAGATATTTATCTATTCAATTGTTTTATGCAGGATGATGAAGATCAAAGCTCAAGTTCAATCTGTAAGTTCAATACCCACAGCTGATGGCTTTTCTTGTTTTTAGTATTTGATTTGGCTAAATCCATTAATAGGCCCCACCTTTTGCTGTTGGGCTCTTGAACCAAAGTTTTTGCTATTGACCCCCTAAACTATTTTATTTCATGCATTGAGATTTGAGCCCCTAATTAGCCAATAACATGTGAATATTCATTGTTACCATTACCAAAAAAAAAAAATAAATAAAAATAAAAATAAAAAATCCAGTATATGCCCCTAATTTTGCTAATTGTACCATTGGATGTCAATTATTGGAGCTTGTGTATTAGCTTGGTAGAGAATAAGATACCATTTTTCATGTATAGAAGTTTTTTATCACATGAACTAGATGACAATCAACAACCACTATGGGATGGGCTCTCAAACTAAGTGTTACGTGGTGTTGAAAACTTAAAATTTCTATTGGGTACTTGCTATATCTAGTCTATGGTTGTTTTAACATTACATATCGTATGACAAGATGCATTTAAAAATCATTATTTGCCACTCGAGTTTGAGCCCCTAATTTAAAAATCAATGTTCAATCTGGTTGTATCTTCCTTTAATAGTTTATTTTACATGCAGCTGGCTCATGCCTGTCAGAAGCAAAGGCTGCTGAGGAAGGGCAAATGATGGTGAAGCTGTTACCTAATGGCGTATCTTGTGATCCAACTCCTACATTTGTTAAACTAGACAATCAGTGCTGTGTAAGGTCTGCTTCTGCAGGCACCTCCTCTCCAACTGCTGTGTGTTCAAGTATCTCCACTGCTTCCAGTCCACTGATCGAATTTGCCTCAGATTCGCATTCTGTTTCATTAGCTTCTTCAGCTGACATGGTCTCTATGCAAAGTTCAGAATCCACTAAGAGCTCTAAGGTTATAATATTGTCTAATTCCCTTTATCTCATCTTACCTTCATGAGTGATCTAATTTATACACCAGCTGATTGATTCTAATGCCTTGTCAAAAACCATAAAAAAGTTCTTTTTTATTAATTGTTCTTACACAAAATTGTTAGGTAATGTTATAGTTTCTTGGGAGTTCAGAATATTATTCCATCATGTCCCATAATCAAGATTATATTACATAATCTGAAATTATGTTCATTTCAGGAGTTCAAGCTCAATCCCGGAGCAAAAATTTTCTGTCCATCTTTTGCCAGTCCAGCATCAGCCAGTGCAGCAGTGCCAACAGTCACAAGCATGGCTTATGTGCCAAGTCACTCTCCCATGGTACCTGTTGCTACTGTCACTCAGCCAGAAGTTGGAATGAGCCCTTTTGTGCCTCGACCATCTGTCCCTGCTAAATTTTCTCCATACACTAACTTGGCAACCGTAAATGGTGGCAGTGGTCCTCAATTTTCGCAACCTGTACGTACAAGTGAACTCAATGTGTCTCATATATTGAGTATTTTCTGACATGAATTCAGATTATGCTTTTAGGCTGTCACCAAGCACATTACTTGTCCAAATGCCAACACTTTTCTGTTTCTTCTCTGAAATTTTACTTTTACATTGTTATCACTTTCGCAGATCCCACCACCTCTTGTCTTCTTTTTTTTTTTTTTTTTTTTTTGCTTTTAGGGTGTGTCACTCAAGCACATTACTTGTCCAAATTGCCAAAATCCTTTTTGTTTCTTCTCTGAAATTTTTACTTTACATTGTTATTCACTTTCGCAGATCCCACCCAACCCTCTTGTCTTCTTTTTTTTTTTTTTTTTTCTTTTGCCCCTGTAGAAGACTTCACTCCCCCATTGTACCTTATTTATTACGCAGAGGCCAGGAGTCACCTTTTCCTGCTGCTTGTTCTTGCCAATATTTGAAACTGATTTGAATTATCCCGAATTTTCAACATTGATATTAAGAGAACACTACCTAATTTTCTTAGTAGTGCAAGGATTTTAATTGCTTACAAAGTTTGTTCTATATAGCACTTTTGATAAGTTTGTTCGTTTGCTTATCAGATTAGCAGTGTTAAGCAGCAATATCATTAATTTAGGCAAATTGGGTTTCCTTTTGAGTTCTTTAGGATTACTTCTGGTGGCGCAGTGTATTACCATGACATATTATGCCCTAAAGTATCAATTTGACCATGTGATGGTGCAAAGAGTCCTATATATGTATTTCTGGCTAGGTTAGTTTCTCATAGAGTTTTTCTTTTTCTATTACATGATTGTTGGATCACATGCTGAAATAGGACACAACCACTTAGTATGCTGGCAATATCATTTGTGTTAGACTTGCACCAGCATATGTTGCTCTTCAAATTCTCAAGCTTGCTAAGGTAAAGGAAAATCTCCTAAAGGATTATTCTTTCTGCAGGTTTATCTCCTCTGTTTTCTATTACCTCAATCATTTTTTTTTTTTTTTTTTTCTTTTGCCCCTGTAGAAGACTTCACTCCCCCATTGTACTTATTTATTACGCAGAGGCCAGAGTCACCTTTTCCTGCTGCTTGTTCTGGAATATTGAACTGATTTGAATTATCCGAATTTTCAACATGAATTAAGAGAACACTACAATTCTTAGAGTGCAAGATTTTAATTGGCTACAAAGTTTGTTCAAAGCACTTGATAAGTTTGTGTTTTGCTTATCAGATTAGCAGTGTTAAAGCAATATCATTAATTTAGCAAATTGGGTTTTCCTTTTGAGTTCTTTAGGATTACCTGGTGGCGCAGATGGTATTACCATACATATTATGCCCAAGTATCATGACCATGTTGATGGGAAAGAGTCTATATATGTATTTTCTGCTAGTTTTAGTTCTCATAGAGTTTCTTTTTTCTATTACAGATTGTTGGACACATGGGAAATAGGACACAACCACTTAGGTATGCTGGTCAATATCATGCTGTTCAGACTGCACCAGCATATGTGCCTCCAAATTCTCAAGCTGTAAGTAAAGGAAAATCTCCAAGGATATTCTTTCTGCAGTTTATTCCTGTTTTCTATTACTCAATCAGGAGACATTTAACTTTAGTTGCTGTTAAACTTGCATTTTATGTGGTTCTAACTTCTGAATTGCTTTCTGTTTCCCATAGGTTATGGTTGGACGACTTGGGCAGCTTGTTTATGTTCAGCCTGTTTCTCATGTAAGATATTTTACTGCAAGATAATATGATTAAAGAACTCTGATGTTTGGCAGTTCCTTTAATTTAATCTAAAAATTGTATAGGTCATGGCTCATATTCGGCTGTTTCATCGACATATTAACTAGCAATTATAGATTAATATTTATTGTCCACGTGATGATATGCTACATTGTACCAGAGTTTTTACTTTTCTGATCTACTACAATGTTAGGTCTTCTCACCACCTAAAACAAAAAAACACATAAAGGTTATGTATCCTTCATCAGTTTCTGTCTGACTAACATGATATGAATCTTTAGGTCCCTATCATGAGATTTATGAACCCTATCTAATAGTAACAAATATAAAAAAGAGAAACTATTTGTAAATGCATTCAAACTACTGTTGGTCATATTTCTTTTTGTCGAGAAATCAAAGAAGCTATACAGGGGTAGGACCTCTTAAAGCTGTGAGCATGCTTCTATTAAATTAACTATGAAGACATCACAACTGCATTATCACAGAATTAATGTACGTAAATAGACATTATTGATATCAGGGTTGATCGGCTGCAGTTAATAGAAAACAAAATGCTATTTGAAAAATTTTGCACTTTATTGTACTCAAAGCTTTTTTTTGGGGGTTCCATTCTAAGAAATTTCTACTTAATTCTCTGATTGTTTAATTTTCTTTCATTTGATATGGAAGGATTTGGTTCAGAACACAGCAACTATCTCGCCTCTATCTGCTCGTTCTCTATTGACTTCGCATCAGGTCCAATATCCCAAGCACCAAGGTACGAAATAGGTTTTCATGTCTTCCGATAATCATTGTACATAGCTTGCAGGAATTTTTGGGTTCTATAGCTCATTATTTCACTAGATCCCATGGATTAGGTTGCACATATAGGAGAGCTTAGTTTTTTGTCGATGTACCTAGTCGTGCAGCTAATGGCTGATGTAAATGCTTTCACAATAATCACACATGGCTCACATATATCTGCACCAGGGGAAAACAATGACATCAATCAAGATGTCTATCTATATCAGCTAGACATAGTAACCAATTCATATATCAGAATTTGAATGTCTTGCTGATGTATGAATTGGTTCCATAAATTTTATATGGCATACACTTGAATATTTCTTGGCTTTACTTTTTATTTCTTATGAAATGTTATGTAGGACTTGCATTCCTATTCATTTCATTTGACAGTAGACATGAATCTCTTGGTGATTGTTTTCATGGAATCAATTTCTTGCAGGAAGTGCAGCAGGCCAGGCCTTGCAACTTTGTGCACCCCCACCTTTTGTAGCGGGAGGCCAACAATCATTTGCAATGCCAAGCCACATTCCTCTTCTGCAACCTCCAATCCCTGCTAATCGACCCATTCCAGTTCCAGGGTCTAATGCTCTATTTGGTGCCAAGTTTCCATGAATATATTCCTTTGCTATTATTATTTCATGATTTTTTTTCATGAATGATAAAAATTTTGGGCCATAGTCTTTTTTTTCTTTGAAAATCATATAGTATAGAGGTACTTAATTTTTGTCCCTCGTATTCAGGGTGAAGCTCTTTCTTGCTGATGTAAGACATGATTTAGGGTGGTATATCTATTACTTAGGAAAATGAGTTAAGTTTCTCCTCCCATGTTAAAAACAGAGTGAGGAGGGATGAAGTTGTGCAATATATTTGACAGACAACAGTCATAATTTTTTTGGTAAAGGTGGTCATTTGGGAAACTCATTTCATCTAGCCAGAGCCATTTCTCATGATTTCTCTGCTGGATTTGGATAATGAAACCGCTAATGGCACGCATTGTTTTAGAAAACATTGGCATTTATTTTTAAATCTTGTCGCAAAGATATTTTGTCCCTTGAACCTGTAATGGAAGAACAATTTGTCGTGTTAAAAAAAATATACTAACGAATCACGGAAAAGGCAAAAACCATCTTAACACAGTATTGAGAAGTTTCCAAGTTACATTAACTGCAGGCTTCCGGCCTGTGTTCAGCAATACGTGAGATGAATTGTGAATTAAGACATCCACCATTACAAAATATTGCCCAACAAATTTTCAAGAACTGCAGTCATCCAATTTAATCATGAGAATTCCAAATTTTATCAACTAAATTATGAAAAATAAATTAGCACGCACTTCTTTTAGTTCCTCTTTTCTCTCTTTTTCTAACACTGAATCATAACATAAGCCATGGGGAACACGCTCGGTAACCTGAACAGAACACTTACAAATATTTAAGAAGCTAAACATCAAACCGTCACATAACCTACAACTGCTAAATAATAACGGGCATCTTTTGGTCTCTAGGGTTTAAACATAGATCTTTGGCTTTTACCTACTCTAAGATAACAAGATGTCTACATGATTGTCCAGTTGCTGCAAATTGCTCCTGAACATGTTAGGTAGGAAGCAGCAGCGATGAGATTGCTCCCCAAGGAAACATTTATCACGTCAGACACTTGATGCCTGTGAATGTTTCATTGAATTGCCACCATCTTCATCTCCATGTTCGGTTTCTGGGCCTAGTTCATCTTCCTTCATTCTGGGGTCCACGGTGACCTGGTTTTGGGGCATGTTTTCCTGCAAAACCTTCATAAGTGCTTGATATCAGTTTATAAGCAATTAATGATCACTAAATGACTTAACATTAGTTGTGTTCTTCATGAACACTCATTTTACCTGTAGCAGCTCAGTCATTTTTCCAGTTCTATAGTTCTCCAAGGGTCTTGACAGAACTGCAGGGTGATTATTCAGAACTGGCTGCACAGATTGCAGGGGCTCAACTGAAAGAGGCAGATCTGCGCTACTGTCATCATCTTCTGCACATGATTTAACAGTTGAGCTAGTATTATTCTCTTTTGATGGAGATGGTACTTGAGTTCTCTTAATGACCTCAGTTAACAGTTTCTCAAAAGGCATACCAGCTGCCTCAGCTGAATTTTGATTAAGACCAGCTTCCTTCTGTATGCCTGTAGACATTACCTGGTGGTTATTTTGAGACTGAAAGTGAAGCAACTGGGTTTCAATTGCTTGCAATTGGTTGGCAGGTGGTGATCCATTTGATGGCTGAGCAGCATCTAGTGCCTGCTTGCCCTTAGAGCCCACTGCATGAGCAGGCTGAGTTGCAACTGAAGACAGTTCACCTGCAACCCCATTTGACAAATCAATGGGCTGGAGTACAACAGGCACAACATTGCCCCTTGAGATCCCTGGAGAAGACGATTGACTTCCTACTGAAGGCACCTGCTGCCTTATTTTGGGGACTACAGGATTAGTAGCTCGAGGTGCATGAACAGTTCCGTTTCTCTCTCTTGACCGATTATGGCTATGAACCTGAGGATTGTTCTCTCTTGGGAATTGTATCTCGTTTCTTCTGATCATCTGAACACCTGGGGCAACATCGTTGTCTGCAGAAACAGGAACATAATGTCCAGGCTTAAAAACAACACCCCGCAAAGTGGTTTCTGAGTTGCCAACCCTGACAGAGAGTAAATATCCAGCATCAAATGCTGCTTCAATGACGCCATGGACTACCTGACCCACCATGACATCATTTGCATCGATTACTGGGTCTTCTTGACGGGGCTGATTCCCGTTAACCCTGACAAATCCAGGTGGAACACGTGAGCTGCCCCCATGATTTGGATTCTGATTCCTAGAAGCATGAGCATTGCCCCCATGATTAGGATCCGGTCTTGGATATTTGCGAGGACGACCACGCTTTCGCTTCACAGGAACAATCGCTGATGCATCAGGATTATTCCCTTGGTTTGCTTCGCTCATGTTCAGAGTATATATTAAATAAAATTTCCCAACTTCCAAAGAGCTACTTTATGGTGTTTCCTCCCTGCAGTGAAAAGCACTGTTGATGTGAGTTTATAAAAGCAAATTGTAACACTACCAACCATGAAAATCAGAAATAAAAAGTCAAAAGTGTAGATTAGCCGTGCTCCCAACAATAAACTTCACCAAAGATGGTCCGCCGACCTGTCTACATAGTACAGTGGCAGATGCAAAACACAATAATGAATGGTGCCAGCCATCTAACATTTTGATTACATTCACACTTTTAGACACATCATATCATATACAACCGAAATCCAACCTAGTAACAGAGATCACAATTAAATGCAGCACATCCTTTCCTCTCAACAGAGTTCACCATTCTAATAAATGTCCTAAATGATTCAAATTGCACATTTCCTGAACCAAGAAAAACCCTACAAAGTCTTACTCTTGGATGTTAAATGCAAATGTACATGCCAAAATCAATTTGACTACAAAGAAATTCTGTCCAGTCTGCAAGTTCAGATGTTCTACAAAACTTTTACTTTCTGAGCATTGGCACAAGAAATATCAGAGGCAGCTATTGATGCCTATAGGAGACATTGAGGAAATCACTCATGAGAACAAGGGAAAAACCTTGGGGAAATGTCTTTACAAATGTAGGCTGAAGTACGAATACAACAGACACCCAGCAAACCATCTGACCCAACCTTACATGGTTGTTAACAGTCACGATTTTAAAAATCTTCCGCTAATTTGTATCACCACAAATATTTGTTCCACAACGCTAGAACTTGCTAACGATGAGAGGCCATGGAACACAGATTGCATTTTATGCATTTAGCAAAAAGTATAGATTACCGCAATCAGTACACACATGTTTATATAAATAGCTACTGCCTAGTATTCACCCTGCCTTAGCATTAAGCAGAGTACTTTGGAGGAGTGTTCTGCTTACAATCCCAACCTTCAAGATGTTTTACTTTGTTGGGGGGGGGAAACAAAGTTGCACAAATTTGTATTATATATGGGGGGGAAACAAAGTTGCCACAAATTGTATGTATATAATATTAATATATATATATAATATAATATATATATATAGTGTAGGACAATAATATATAGTGTTGGACATACAAGCATCAACTACCTTATAAAACATCCTTGATTTCTGATACTAGATCATAACATTAGTTAATGAAAAGGTAGGAAAGCCGTAGTTTCAGGCAAAGCTCGCATACCATCAAATCCTTTCACATTGCCTACACTTTTGTATAATGTAAAAGTTTCTCTCCCTACAATTCCCCAATTATGCATAGCATTGAGTTCTAAGCAACTTAAAGGCTTTTGTCCCAAAGGAAAATGCTGAAGCTCATATTAGTCAAATTTAGTAAAACCATCACTCATGTTATGAAGCTTGTCAGGATATCAGTTAGAAAGCACTAAATTTAAAGTTCTGAATGTGAAAAATAGGACTTTTCTACCTGTTTAGAGAAGTCCCAGAATTAGTATTGGTATTTTAAGCTAATTACACAATGTTTAGACAGGCAAAGCCATGTTAATGAACGTATAGATACAGACATGTGGGATTGGGAGGAAATGGGTGAACATCCACAACCTGTAAGCTGTTGCAACGTTCAAATTTCATACCTGTCACCCGAACAACCAGAATATGGAAAATCACAATCAGACAATTGATCTCGATGATGAAGTTGTATAGAGAAGCATATGCTCTCTCATATACCCTAATCATTGTCCCCTTTTGTAGCTTCCACATAGACAAAGTACATAACATAGAACTATCACCAGCCAAAGCTGGCAAAGGAATGATTTCCAATCTCTCCCTCTCTCCTTTTTATTTTGTTTTATTTTCTTTTTTTTTTTTTAATTAAGCACTACAATTCCACATAAGGAGGCAAAGCAGTTTGAATGCAACTACAGCAACAAAGCAAAGCTAAAACTCTGTATCGAAGTACTCCTCCAGATCAAGAATTTAAAGCAATAGTAAAGTTGACATAGCATATTACCACAACAGTGTCATAAATCCTCATTTGAAACTTCAAGCACAATAAAATAGGCAAGAAAAGCTAAAAACTGTAAGGGAAATAAGCATAAATACACAATAATACAGATATTAAACATGTGCAAAATATACAATTAAACAAAACCCAATAACAAATACTGAAAGAGTAAACACGCTACACCTTCTGTAGTATTACAACCATGGAAGTAAATAAAAACACCTGAAATAAACAAATATACACAACCTCGTTAGAAAAATAAAATGGTATCCACAAATAAAAAAGACTCTGAATTTGAAATACATAGCTTCACCAGAACCCTAAGCCTATGCTTGGGCTCTGAGAAAATGCCAGGAAAATTGCTTAAGGAGATTTTCTAATCACTAACATCAAGCATCAGTACCCTCTTTTTGTTAGAAGTAAAATTTGAATTAAAATAAAAAGGGAAAAAAATTAAATTAGCAAAAATTAGAACTTATTTTTAATAAATAAAAAATTGAACAAAAGGAAAAGCAAAACAAATTCAAAGAGCAACAGAATGCTAGGGATCCTGAAGAAGAAGAAGACGAAGCGTACCTTTCGAAGCAGTGTTTTATGGAAGACGGAAAAAGAAAAAGCAACTGAAAATATTAAATTAAAATAAAAATAAAATTAATTTGAAGATCCTGTCGATTTGTTTTCTGTATGTTGCTTAAAAATACAAAAAATCTAATTGATATCTTTTTTTTTCCTACTGTAGTTGTCCCAGAGACGGAGAAGACGAGGTCTACTGTGGGCCCCTTTGTAGTGGTAAGTTAGCCTTACTGTGACGTAGAGTTTGAGACGAAGCAATAGCAAACCGACATGTAATGCATCACTGTAAGAAAGCTGTTTTTATTTACGAAAGTATCACCCCAGTCCAAGTGAGTCCCACTGGATTTGACAAAAATCCAGTAAATTAGTGGCAGTATAAAAAAATTAAAAAAAAATTTTGTTTCCTTTTCAAATTCAAAAAATTACTATATTTAGTTATTTGTATGAATATTTAAATTTATTCAAAATAACGGCAGAGATATATTTCCTAAATTATCTTCAAATAAAAAATCTTATAAAAATATCATTTATAATATCATTTCCTAAATTATTTGTATGAGTATTTTTTTTTGAAGGTAATATAAAAATATCAGATATAATATCATTATCTCATAATTTATACGTTATATATAAAAATAAGACATTTTTTAAAGCGAACCAGATTACATTTGTAGCTAATCACAGGTTTTCCTGTTGTATAACTTCCATGTTTTAGTTATCTTATTTGACATGCTGTGCTACTAGGTGGTTATTTTAGTTTACTTCTTATAACGTGTCTTAAACCTCAGCTGACATTTTTAAATGATAATCCAACAGTTGATCATAGCTGAAGTACAAACTTAAAAGAAACAAACATGAAGACAGGTACGGAACCAGAAGTTTAAATTTATTAGGATGAAGTATAATTTTTGGATATTTGGGGGGTGAAAAGGATAATTTCCCAAACTTTAACATTAATTTTTGCATTAAGATTTTCTTTAATATGTCGTGAAAGGAGGAAAGAACTTTCTTGTGATAAGTATGATGTAAATTTTTGTATTTTTCATGCAAACCAGGTCCATATCGTGTACATGATTTCCAACACAGAAGCTTCAGAACAAGAAATTATGGCGATTTAACTGTACAGGGCACAAGAAAACCTGCTCTGCAATTAATATATATGGGATCAAATAATCAGGGTTATTGCAAGAGGAAATCAGCAGTATGAAGATCAGTAGCTCTGCTGATCTGAAAATTACATTTCCCAGATTGTTAAAATTATAAAGGGATGATGCCTCAAACTAGGACTAATGTACCTTCTAGCAAGCTGGCCTTTGAGGCTCTGGAAGGTTTTCAACATAGGTGTTGTATACCATTTTTACATGGTCATCAATTGTGTCGGCTGACCAATGATCAGTTTTTATTGGATGAAGATATTTGACTGTTATAGGTGCCGGCCGAACGTGCAAGCTTCCTTTTCTCCAAGCTAGATGTGTTCCAGTAAAGACCATTGGAACGATTGGAAGGCGCGTTTGCAGTGCCAGATGAACAAAACCCTATAAAGGAAAACCAATGAAGAAAAAAGGTGAATTTTTGTTCAGCTTTCCAAGTACAAGAAAATGCACAACAGCACAACACGAGACAAGGTTATGAAGAACTATATTTGTTGTGAGGATTTTCCTTTCTGCCTCATATCTCAGCAAAATTAAGTACGATCATTTGGTAAAATTAAGTAAATTAAAAAAGTGCAAAGTATGTTACTATGCTATTGTGCAGATAATGAAGATGCTATACTTGTGAATGTTATTTAACACAAGCCTGAAATGTCAACTGGAAATAAATTTAGCTGTGTGATATGCACTAAATATGCAATAAAAGGTCTTATAACCATATTGCTTCCGATATATTGTGCACTGCGGGATATAACAGGTTCATATCAGCTGATAAATTATCATCATTTCAGAACATGATTATGAGAAAAAGTATTTCTCAGAAAAGTAACTTAGCTACCTTCTTAAAGGGGAGTAGCCTTCCATTTTTGGACCTTGTGCCCTCAGGAAAAATGATTAGTGATAGGTTGTTTTTGACAACTGCACAAGCTGCCTGAGAGAGGAAAATTATAAGTTGGGTATGTAAAGGCAGAAAACATGATTGACAATATGGAGAATAAAAAGAGTCACCTCTTTCATGGATTGAATTGCAGCGGTTGGATTGGAGCGATCTATACGAAGATGGTTAGCCAATACATAAAGCTGTCCAAAGAGAGGATACCAAATAATCTGCAAAAAGTAAAAATCTAAATCATAAGTACATTTGAAGTCTTCCAATTATCTCCTGGAATCTACTTGAACTTGCAAATAAACTAGAATGGGCAAGATATTATTATGTTTAGAAGCAGGAAGGAATCAAACAAGTTGAATTTTAGCACACAAATTAGTAAACAGTACTCAGCTACAGAGCTTATCAATCTCGAAGAGCCGTAACTCGTGAAGATCCTTATTTATAAGCACCATGATGATTGAAAATGTACCTCCTTCTTTGCAATGCCTACTGTGCCAGTGGGAGTCAACCACATCATAAGGAAAATGTCTATAGGAGATGCATGATTACAGATATAAATGGCCCTCTCATTTGAGAATTCAACACCTTCAATTTTTATAGGATTCCCTAAGATCCACATCTGCAATGAAAGTTTGTATTTTTAACCATACAGCATAAATTGCTAAGTTAAAACAAAAACTAAAAAGAAAATGCAGAATGCTAGTGGACCAAGTTTACATAGCTAAAACTCATTGAAGTAAATTGTCAAACATAGGTACTTAATCTGAATAACACCAGAAGTAGATTAGACTGTACCCTAAGATGATTTTTAAAATGGCATTAAATAATAATGTCTCTATTTCTACTTTTATACACTCTGGTCCCCACTTCTTTTCTAATAACTTCAGGAAGAAAAAAGAACCTATAATGGATTGGTACCATTCTTGTACAGGAAGAACTAGAACTTTTTGGTTTAATTAGTCTAAACGAAATTCATTAATTACAAGGTTGGTTAAGCAGGGATTAGCCTGGGATCCAAGCCTACAATTTGGACTAAGCAATTCACATTGAAATTCCTTTTCTTATCAGACTCTCTATCTTATTTATAACCACAATGTCGTGACCCACCAAAGCACCATATGTTTCTGCTAAACCTGTAGCAATTTTATCTCCAAACCATTACTAGCTAGCCTGTGGTTCTCATATCATGATCAGCTGCAGTAAATGATCTGAGTTTTTTTTCCTTAGGCATTTAACCAGTCAAGTGCAATTCAGCATTTAATTTTGCAAAATATAAAGTATCATAGCAAAAAATTTCATTTTGTTTTCTTTAATCAATTTTCTAAGCAACCAATCAGGTGGTAAAGAAATTAAAAATAGAGGGAAAAAAGAACTTCACACAAGATAAGAAATCTTCTTCTTTCGTACAGCTATTTATTTTATATTTCACTATTCATATTAAAAACAAGTAAATAAGTGCAATTAGTGTGAAAATTGAATTAGGTAAGCTTGAAATGAATCATAAGTGAAGCAACTCACCATCATTCTACCAGTAACATGTCCATAAATATTTCCTTGCCTAATTCTCTCATAAGGCCATGGCAAGAGCAGGAGCATGACTAAAGCCCAGATAAATGTTGTAACCATCATTGACACAAAACAGACCACAATTCTTACGCATGATATCAATGCAGGAACCCACCCATCATCATCAACATAAACATCACTCTTATGCCTTTGTTCCACTTCTTCTCTCACCGATTCTTTTGGATTTTTTTTCACATTTGGGATGGAATTTGTGGTAAGAAAACTCTCCAATCTCCTATTCCTCATAAAAGAACCAGATCCAGTGTTCTCCATGAGCTTCGACTGGAATAGAGATTTCCCTGGACAAGACAGAGCAAATTGTGTTTGTTTGGTAAGAAACTGCCGGAAAATGAATGAATGAATTTAGTGACACTCAGTTTCTGTATGATGAATTAACCAAATGAACTTGAAGCCTCGGTTATAAATTGTTATTCCTTTTATTCTCTACAACTTTTAAGGAGAATATAAAGCTAAACTTATAAAACAAGATGAGTTTAAACAGAACTAAACATTAATTCAGTAAACAAAGGAAATATTAGTCGACCAAAACCACCGTTCACTAAGTCAAACCGATAAACTTCTTTGGTCGCCTAGAAAATAAACATCAAGAAAAAGAACAGAATCCCTCTCTCAAAGAAAGCAAGGAGGAGAAGAAAACTGCAACTCGAACTTCTCCTTCACTGTCGAACAAAAGAAACAAATAGCAGGCTCATTCTTAGTACAGTACCTACGTCTATGGCTTACTTGGATAAGTTTATATACAAGCCACATATTTTCTCATATCTCTTATTCTTTTATTTGCTATCGAACAGACCCAAAAAAAAGCAACAGCTTTTACAAATACCCACCAAAATTGACCTACCAAATATGGTTTTTCTTGATTGTTTTCTCGAGAAAATATGGGAAAACGGTAGCAGAAGCGTATTGACAGTTCAAGGAAACCAGATAAATAGATAAAGAGTATCTGGCACTAATAAGTCTTCTGTTTTCTCTTACAAAAGAACAAGAAAGAGAGGTGTTTCGCGACGCAAAAAAACATGTGTAGCCAAGACAAAACACAGAAAATGTGGCACTAAAGAATCGAGAGACCGAAATGGGGGATGCAGATATGCATAGTATTTCTGTCCTCCTTTGACTCTGGATGGTGTATATACTTCGACGATCTGGCTGCTATGTGCTAGTATTTTTTTAAGCACGAAATATTTTCTAGCATGTTCTTATATTTATTTATGCGATTATGTCCAAGTTAGACAATATAGTTTTAACGTATTAAGAAAACAAACTATAAAATACCGAAAAGAAATTTTATATTTATTTATTAAAAATATTTTGAGCTTGTCCTTACTTTTATGTCTTAAGTTAGAAAAGAAAATTTATTATAAATATATGGTTTTTAATATTTTTGTTTTTATTTTTTTATTTTTTATTTGTTTATACACATGTTTTAGGCTTGGTTGGTTTCAATAAAGTCATCTTAGGAATCACCATCCATATATGTTGGTCAAAATTTTGTATTATTAAATAATAAAAAATTTATCATATTATTGATTTTTTTTTTTTTTGAAAATACTCTCTACATTATTTATCATTGATATAAATTTAAACAAAGTTAAAACTTGACAAATTTATGAGGGCGTAAATGCAAAAATTAAATTTAACCTTTGTTTGGAACGGAGAGAAAGGAAAATGTTGAAGAAAAAAATAAAAAAAAGAAAATAATGAGAAATTATCAATTTTTTTATTATAATTATTTTTCGTTTTTGTGTTTGGATATAATAAATGAAAGAAAATAATTTTATTTTTCTTCGTTTTGAAAGGTGAAAATTTTAGAGAAAAAATATTATTATTGAAAATTAAAAATTATGTCCTCACTTAAATAACATGGTATTTAGTAGAAAAAAAGTGAAATTTTCACTTTTTTTTCATTATTTTTGTGACATCCTGGACATCAGGGGGCATCACCTTAGGCGAATCCCACATCGGCTACGGACGAGGTAAATGATCTGTACATAAGAGAGGTAGTCTCTAACCTTGGTAGGCGCCTTTTGAGTTGGCAGACTAAATAACATGTATTTAGTAGATAAAAAAGTGAAATTCTCCACTTTTTTTATTATTTTTGTGACATCCCTGGACATAGGGGCATCACCTTTAGCGAATCCCACCACATCGGCTACGGACGAGGTAAATGATCTGTACATAAGAGAGGTAGTCTCTAACCTTGGTAGGCGCCTTTTGAGTTGGCAGAGTGGGTGACCCCTGGCTCAAAGGACAAAACCGTAAGGTGTAGGGACATCCGGGGACTATGCCAAAGCGGACAATAAGTGAAATGTTTCTTCATTTAATATTTTCCTAAGTATTTTGAATAGTTATTTTCATTCCTTAAAAAAATACTTTCATCCAAAGGAGTTGAAATTAAATCTAGGACTTTTGATTATCCTATTGTGGTTTTTTTTTTTTTTTTCCACATTTCATTTTAGTGTACCGAAAATTCCATGTCCCATTGGATTGAAAAATGCCTTAGGTTTTTTTATGGGACCATGTCTTATTGTCAGGTTGGAAAGAGAGAATGGGGTAATGCCACGTGTGATAAGTTTTTTATTATTATTTTTTCTTCTTAGAATGAAGTTTTTTATTATTTTTATCTTATGGTGAGTACAACTTTTAGAATATCCGAATATGGCCATAATGATTGGCTTAGAGTGTATGGGGTGGATCACATTTAAATTATTATTTTTAAATAGATATTGGATTTTTAAATTTTTGATATCCTAAATTAAAAAACATGCATTTAGTATAAAAAGATTCATAAGTTGAGTAGTAAAGTTATATTATTCGTTGTTAATTAATCAGATTTCGTCTTGTTGATTTTTCTATTATTATAGAAAATCAAAATTCTCGAGTTTGAGTCCTCTTAATTATAAAAATAAAATTATTTTATTATGATTATATAATTTAGAGTTCTATTATTTTTTTTTAAACCTTATGTTATTAAAATATAAAGTTGTTAATAAAGGGCAAGTGGAGTGCTTTAATTACATCAACTAGTTTACATTTAAACTCTTAATTGAATTTTTTAAAGTAGTAATTATCAACTTGCTAAAACCTAAATAGGGTTTTTTTTTTTTAAAAAGTAGTACTTTATAAACATGAAAATCTATTTATTTTTTAATATAAAAGATGAAAAACTTTTAATATTGGTGAGAGTAGATTCTTTAAGCTTCAACTTGAACTTTTTAAGTGCTAAGCCTTTTATTTATATTTTAAAAAAGAAGACATAATTACACCTAACACTCAATTGATTTTTTTTTTTTTTTTTTTTTTTAAATCAAATAAAAGGAGGAAGCCGATATTATACATAACCTAACCTCAATTGATTTTTTTTTTTTTTTTTTTTTTGGCACCTAAAGTAATATGTCAACAACCACCCCCAAAAAATTAGTTTAATGTATTAAAATATTAATGCATATTTATTTTATTTTTTTTTTTTTTTTTTTTTTTTGCACCTAAGTATATGTCAACCAACCCCAAAAAATTAGTTAATGTATTAAAATATTAATGCATATTTATTTATTTTTTCTTAAATACAATATGTATGCTTAAAGAATAACGGAAAAAAATCCGAAGAGTGAAATGGGATGATAAGGATCCTTTCTCTCATAATCAAAGGTTTCGAATTCGAATCCTAGGTATAGAGTTCCTTTAAACACTCGGGAGACAGCATTTTGCCCCCTTTGTGAGCCTGCCTGACGCGAATCTGAATTAGTTGGGCCAATATGTTTTGGACACCGGACCGTTAAAACTAAAAAAAGAACAAAAGAAAAAAAAAATTTTCTTACTTTTTGCCTTTCTTCAAAAAAAAAAAAAAAAGTTAGACTAAATGAGTATTGTTAAGTGTTTGATCATTGTAAATGGAGAAAATTTTCATTAAAAGTCTGAAAACTCTTTTCTCTTATAGGCCTAATGTAGAGCGAGCAAGTTAAATCCAACTCAATGAATTAGGGACACCTACACAAAAAAAAAAAAAAAAAAAAAAAAAAAAAAAAAAAAAAAAAAAAAAATAAGTAAAAAAAAAAAAAAAAAAAAAAAAAAAAAAAAATGGATTGCACTCATTCAAAACCCGATGGTTGACAATTTTGAATAAATTTCAATCCAATACGTAGGGAGGAAGAAATTGAAATCTGCCAATACTCATGGATCATAATCTTATGTGTATTGAAGATTTATCCAGTCCAAGTGAAAGGGGCATTCACATAGACTCAAAATGGAGAGCAGAAATTACGTCTATCTGCTAGTCAAGTCTTAAAGGTCGGACACCACCCTATTATCAAAAAAAGAAAAAGCTGAAGCCCCCTCCTATCTTTAGATGCTTTTTTTATGGCATAGGTAGTTGTTTGATACGTAAGATACTTGTATTATTGGAGTAAACAGCATATGATCAGCTCATGAATACTGATATAATCAAGGATATTGAATAAATCTTAGCTCTCCCCAATGCCAAGACAAAAATAAAAAGTCAAGAACAAAATGATACTAAATATTATCTATAATTGCCTATTTTAGATTACAAATCATATCTATTAAATTTATATTTATGCATGCATTAAATTGAGTATCTTAATTTGGTATAAATGAATTCTATCTAAAATTTATTTGCAAACAAATTTTCATGTTTTAAATGAATTTAAAATTGAAAAATAATTTGTTTCTATTTCCTAAAATGTCCATATCATAATAATTTTTAAAGGTTAAAGAATGAATAGTCTTGTTATAAATTTTCAGGTTATTTAAATTTGTAGAATTTATTTAGAAATTCTACCTTTTTTACTATAATTTGGTTTAATTATACTTAAATTCATAAAATTGAATTCGTAGAATCTAAATCTTCATTTTTTTATACTAAATATAAAAATTTAAATTTATAAATGAATTCCACGATTTCGGAATAAGAGGTTACTATTTTCTTGTTAATATTGAAAGCCAAAAAAAAAAAAAAGGGAATGAAGAGGTTACTAGCTGATGGGACTATTTTTCTGTTAAAAATTGGAAAGGCCAAAAAATCAAAAAAAAAAAAAAATCATGAATCTATATATTTTATAATCTATTAAATTTAAAACTAATAATTTTTAATATTAATTTATTAAAAAAAACTAAACCAATCAAGTTTTTATTGATTTTCTCACTTATATACCTCTTAATTATAAAAGTTTCACTGATTCGGTGAATAAATAAAAGTGTTATTTTTTAACCCATAATGTGTCGGTTGAACTAGTAGTGATTTGATGGTGATCCAAGCGAACGAAGATTACATTTTATGATTATACAAAAAAATTGAACTAATTTCCAATATTGCAATAAAAAAAGTAATTATGTTATCAAAAAGATTTTTCCTAAAAATTATGTTTCACTAAAAATTTAATTTTACAAATATGTTACTTTTCATTAGGTAAATTGTAGAGCAAACTAATTAAAACTTATTTTGGGAACTCTTACGTACGAACCTTCTACAGATGATGATAGTTGGCCAGTTAAAATTACTGTATTAGTAACTAAAAACGTGCTAAAATGGAAAGAAAAAAAAAAAAAAAAAAACAAAAACATGTTACCTAAAGTCCAGACTTTCACTTCATACTTGGAATGCAAGTTTCTTAAATTATCTAGGCAGTATAAATTTTAAAGGTTTTCTCAAAAGAATTTTCTACACGGGTCCAGAAAAATTTTTTAAATCTGTAATTAGCCCATATTTAAGAGTTTCTTTTTTTACAACAATTAATTGCAGACTAGCACCGTTAAAAAGCAACAAACTTGTACTATAACCCATAATTTCAAGCTTTTATTTCTTAAATTCCATTCCCCGAACATGTTCCTGCCTCTTGCTAACAAAGCGGAGATTTATGTCTTCTCCACCGCCACTTCATCTTTTTGTTCTAGGCGTTCCATTTTCTACAATTTCTGTTTCCTTGGTCGAAATTCTATTAATCAGGTTAACTGTATTATCTTTTATGTTTTTTTTTTTTTGGCGCTTCATTTGAAAAGCCTAAATTTTATTTGATATTTCTATCTTTTGAGTTTGTTTACAGGTTTCTGCGGTAATTTTCCCTTTTTTCCTGTTTTGTTTGATGAGAAAAAGCAACCGAATTGATTGGAATAAAGTTGAATTTTTGTTTTGGATCTTTTATATGTCTTTGATTCATAGATGTTTCAAAAGAGACGTTCACATCTTTGATAGTCAGATTATTTGACCGAATTAAGCTGCTTGGTTTTAGCACACATTATGTGCTTTTTCATCACCAACTCCACTGTTTCTCTATGGGTTTGGAAAAAAAAAAAAAAAAAAAAAAAACATGTACTAAAGTCAGACTTTCATTCATACTGGAATGCAAGTTTCTTAAATTATCTAGGGTATAAATTTTAAAGTTCAAGAATTTTACACGGTCCAGATAAATTTTTAAATTGTAATTTAGCCCATATTTAAGAGTTTCTTTTACAAAATAATTGCAGAAAGCACCTTAAAAAGCAACAAACTTGTACTATAACCCATATTTCAAGCTTTTATTTTCTAAATTTCCTTCCCCGAAATGGTTCTGCCTCTGCTAACAAAGCGGAGATTTTGTCTCTCCACCGCCACTTCACTTTCTTTTTGGTTCTAGGGTTCCATTTTCAATTTTCTGTTTCCTTGTCAAATTATTAATCAGGTACTGTTATTCTTTATGTTTTTTTTTTGGCGCTTCATTGAAAGCTAAATTTTATTTGATATTTCTATCTTTTGAGTTTGTTTCAGGTTCTGGGTATTTTCCTTTTCCTGTTTTGTTGATGAGAAAAAAGACGAATGTGGAATAAAGTTGAAGTTTTGGTTTTTGGATCTTATTGTCTTGATTCTAGATGTTTCAAAAGGGTCAATCTTTGATAGTCAGATATTTGATGCTTGGTTAGCACAATTATGTGCTTTTGTTTCTCTATGGGTTTGGATCATTGAGAATTGAGAACCCAAATTTAATTTTTCTCTTCTTAGCCTGCGTTTTATTAGTAATTCAACCAAGCTTTGATGTTAGTGATGATATTTTACGTTTGTGGAGATGTCATTTAAAGTAAAATCTAGAAATAAATATAATGTTTGATTTATTGGTCTCCTTTTTGTCATTGTAGCATTGGGCAGTGAAAGTTTAGAGGCCATGGAGGAATTTTTTGAGGGATTTGACAACGAGTACTTGAGTTGATTAATTGAGAAGCAAGCAGCACTTGATTTATTTTAGTTTTTTCTTTGTGGGGTTGTGTTGTAATTATCTTTTATAGGATATATGTTATTGGTGAACTGAAATGAGTGTGGTTGGGTTTGATATTGGTAATGAAAACTGTGTTATTGCTGCTGTGAAACAGCGGGGTATTGATGTGTTGTTGAATGATGAATCAAAACGTGAAACACCAGCTGTGATATGTTTCGGGGAGAGGCAGCGGCTTCTTGGGTCAGCGGGCGCTGCTTCGGCTATGATGCACCCAAAATCTACAATATCTCAAGTGAAGAGATTGATTGGACGGAATTTTAAGGATCCCGATGTTCAAAATGACCTAAAACTATTACCATTTGAAACTTCTGGAGGACAGGATGGTGGCATTTTGATTCACTTGAGATATTTGGGTGAGATACATACATTTACACCAGTTCAGATCATGGCAATGCTCTTTTCGCATTTGAAAGAAATAACAGAGAAAGATTTGGAAATGCCAGTTTCTGATTGTGTGATTGGAATACCATCATATTTCACAGATTTGCAGAGACGGTCATATTTGAATGCTGCAACAATTGCTGGGTTGAAGCCTTTGAGATTGATGCATGACTGTACTGCAACTGCACTTAGTTATGGGATTTACAGAACTGATTTTGACAATGCAGGGCCAACATATGTCGCATTTGTTGACATTGGTCATTGTGATACGCAAGTGTCTATTGTATCATTTGAGGCTGGGCATATGAGGATCCTGTCACATGCTTTTGATAGCAGCTTGGGAGGAAGGGATTTTGATGAGGTTTTGTTTGGTTATTTTGCAGCACAATTCAAGGAGCATTATAAAATAGATGTATATTCTAATGTCAGGGCATGTCTTAGGTTAAGGGCAGCATGTGAGAAATTGAAGAAGGTTTTGAGTGCAAATGCAGAGGCACCTCTAAATATTGAGTGTTTGATGGATGAGAAAGATGTTAAAGGGTTTATTAAGAGAGAGGAATTTGAAAGGCTGGCTTCAGGATTATTAGATAGGATTACCGTTCCTTGCAGAAAGGCTTTAGCAGAATCTAGGATATCGGTCGGGAAGATCCATTCCATTGAGCTTGTTGGCTCAGGGTCTAGAATACCAGCTATTGGTAAGTTGTTAACTTCTCTATTTGGCAGAGAACCCAGGCGGACACTGAATGCAAGTGAATGTGTCGCACGTGGATGTGCCCTCCAGTGTGCAATGCTTAGTCCAGTTTTTCGAGTGAGAGAATACGAGGTTGGTATTTGAAATGAATTATAAGTTCTTTAAATATTGTCCTGTCAAAAGCTGTGTTCTTTGTTGTTTCCTTCTGCTAGCACAATGGTTTTCTATTTCAAGTAGGTACTTGTTTGTTCCTTTCTTGTAAAATGGTTGCCTGCTTAAGTTCATGCTATTTGTTCTAGCTCATGTAGCAAGCTGATAAAAGTTTCAAATTTAGATATTCCATCAACTATTTGCATGATCAAGCTGGTCAATAATGACTAAAATTATTTTCAGAGACCACTTTATTTGCTTGCTTTTGTTTATTGGGTAGAATGTGCAACAGCTTCCTTCTGTTGCAATCGCAATTCGCAGAGAGGCAAAAGTCTGTTGTACAATTATCAGCTGGATATTAATGTGTTTAGACACATTTCCATGATGATGCATTCTTACAGAATAATGTAATTGAAATATGTCTTATGCAGGTTCAAGATTCATTTCCTTTCTCTATTGGATTCTCATTGAATGAAGGCCCAGTTGGCACAGGGTCAAATGGAGTACTATTCCCAAAAGGCCAACCAATTCCAAGTATCAAAGTCTTGACATTTCAACGCAGTAATTTGTTTCATATGGAAGCATTCTATGCCAATCCCAATGAACTGCCTCCTGGTGTATCTTCACAAATTAGTTCTTTCACGGTCAGTGCATTGCACTCCACTCGCTCTCTGTATGCATGGCATGTGAGATTAGTTAGGGGTTGATAGCTATGAGTGGCTTCTCTCATGATTTCCTTGAGACACACAGATGACAAGTTTATTGTTAATGACATAGTTGATGCTGGTATTACTAAATTCTTGTGTTTTTCTTAATGTTTCTGTTCAACAGGGCCTGTTATCAGGTTTTAGATTCACCATAGAACACTTTAAATTCTATTTGATTTTGATGACATGTGAATTAGAACTTCATTCCTTGTCCAATTGAAATTTCAATTCTATAACTTAAATCGTGTTAGAAGTTTGCTTTCAAGTCATGCTAGACTTCATCATAAAATGCAAATGGCATTTAACCTTATATTTAGAATCATAGATCCAGATTCTTGTATATACTTCAAATGCAGTTGCATTTCTCCTAGTACTTGAGCACATGGCTTATGTACCATTCTTGATATGTAGATTTGTTTTGTAATTGGGGTGAAAGAGCACATGGGCTAAATTCATTCACCATTTGTGGGACACATAAATGTATTTACTTTTCACACTGGCTATGCATATAGATAATCTATTATGGGCATGGATATATCTCCTTTAACTGAACCATAGCTTCCAAGTTTATGAAAGTATTTTATGCAGATTGGTCCTTTCCCAGGATCCTGTAGTGAGAAGGCAAGGATTAAAGTTAAGGTCCTATTAAACCTTCATGGCATTGTCACTGTTGAGTCAGCCATGGTAAATAAGAACTCTCTTATTTATTCTGTATCCTTATTTGACTTTATTACTGTTTGAGGGATTTTTTATGTCGCTAAGATTTGTTATGGCTTCAGTTAATGGAAGACCATGCAGAAGGTCATGCTAGAAGGGGCAATGCTCATCCAGAAGTGGATAAAATAGAGGTTGACTCTGTTGCTTCTTCTACAAAGCTTGAAAATGGCGATGATGATGATTTAACAATTCATGCTAGATCATCAGATGCTTCAGTAAGTTTCTTGTAAATTATATCATCATGTGCATATGCCTGGATATATTAGTACCTGTTTGCTTCCCACTCTTCTTGTTCAAAGAAATTAGGAATTTCCATTATTGGATGGTTTTCATCTCAAATATAGACTTATAAGGGTCCTTTTCCATTTGTTGACTAAGACTTTGGTGCTCTGTATGTATTTACATTTACTGAAGCAGGGCCAAATAATTTGTAATATTAAAAGGGTGACCAGTGCACTAAGCATCCCATATTTGTACACTCCAGGGAAGGTTGATGCACACAGTTACGTGCATAAATATATAGAATACTATTATATTGATTATAAGTTAAAATTGTGAATTCATTATAGATTCCCAGTCTAAAATGTACTTTTGGCCTCTTAGATAGAATAACATTATATTTATTATAAGTTAAAATTGTGTGACTTTTGATACCTCGATACCTTACTGCACCTAAAACTATAGGCTTCTGAGCCTAAGAATAGATTTAATATCTCTAATACATGCCACACAAGAAAGGCCATTAGTCTTGAAGTTAATAAGCATGCATCTTCCTCTACCTCATATTGAAAATTTGAATTTTAATCAAGAATATGAAGTACATTTCGCTATCAAACTCTTGGCTAGTGGTTACGAGAGGCTTTGTGACATTATTGAAGAGCCATTCAACCTCAACTCAAGCTTGTGGTGAGCCCTTAGGTTCAATATCTCTAGCAATATTTTACACTTGTGCTGGTTCTGGTGCTCTTCAGTTTTTGCATTACCTAAGTGGACAAGCTTAGAAGCATACCAAATTCAGTTGCACTCATTTATTATTTTCAGGCTAATGGCATGAAAGATAAAGCCAGTCGGAGGCTTGAGATACCAGTTAGCGAGAAAGTATACGGTGGAATAACCGAATCTGAGCTTTCAGAAGCTAAAGAGAAGGAATTTCAGTTGGCTCAACAGGACAAAATTGTGGAACAAGCTAAAGACCAAAAAAATGCCTTGGAATCCTATGTTTACGAGACACGTAACAAGGTAGAACTCTAAATATACTAATTTTTTCTTCCCAAGATACCGTAAGATGGTTTTAAATTGTAACTTGGCCTATTAAATTACTTGCTGATGGTTTCATGTTCTTGTGGTGTGCCTTTCTGGAAACCACTGTGCTTCTGATCAATCTGTTTAAGATTACAATACTGACTATATGCTGGGAAATGTAATGTTTAACATCCTAAAAATGAAAATAGATGCTTTTATGGCAGTATATGGTACATATATCGTTAAATGGTCACTCCATTGTTTTTTAAATTTCATTATCTGTTGAACATATTTATGTAGTTGAGAATCTTGCTGCTCAGTCATTGGACTCCGATTGCCTATAGGTGACTTGGATTCAAATTAAATGCGATACTAAACTATTCCAATGAAGGATTGGATAAAATGTATGAGATATCCATATACCCAGTGCTAGGTCTTAATCATTAACCAACCTCCTAGAGGGCTTCTGCTTCATTGTTCCTATTATTTTCCTTAATGTTCTGGTTTGAGAAATAATGACATGTTTACATGAATAGCTTTTCAACACATATCGGAGCTTTGCTAGTGATAGAGAGAGAGAGGGGATTTCCAGGAACCTTCAAGAGACTGAAGAGTGGCTTTATGATGATGGTGATGATGAAACCGAGAATGCCTATACCTCAAAATTGAAGGATCTGAAGAAGGTAATTTTCATTTCTCCAAGTCTAAAAGTTCAGAATTCCAATTTTTATTCTCCTTGCCCGACCGTTTATTTTCCCTTGCACTAAATAGTTGGTGGATCCCATTGAGAGTCGATATAAAGATGAAGAAGCAAGGGCACAAGCTAAACGGGATTTGTTAAACTGCATTGTGGAGTATCGGATGTCAGTTAACTCTCTATCAACTGAGGATAGGGAATTGGTATGATACTGAAATTATACGACCTGCAAATATGATATGTTTAATTATTTGTATACAACAAAACTATGACTTTTGCAGATTATGAATGAGTGCAATAAAGCAGAACAGTGGCTAAGAGAGAGAACTCAACAACAAGATTCCTTACCAAAGAATGCCAACCCAGTATTGTGGTCAAAGGAGATAAAGTGCAGGACAGAGGATTTAGACTTGTAATATTCTTCTACCCCTATATTTGCATAGAAAATTCAAATATTTTCTATTTTTAATTCTACCATTACCTAAACATAACAATATGAGCTCCAAGACTTTGTGATCATTTTCAAATGCGGTAATAAATACCTCATAATGACGTGTCTATTTGAAGGGAATAGAAACATGTCTCTTAGAATGATACATATTGCTTTATAGATTTTAACTCATTGCCACCAAACACATGATTCAGTGATGCTACAATTTTCTTTTGATCATATTTGCTTCTGAATTCTGATTATATGATCAATGGCCCGTTCAGAGTGTAGTAACCTTTCATGTTACGGATTTCAGGTTATGCAAGCGTATACTGGAAAGGAAGGGTTCCCCACTAAATTCAGAAGACAAGAAGGGCACAGACCACCAAGAATAACTTCAAGCCATTGAAGGCCCTTTAATTTACACTTGTAACTTAACAGTCTACACAGGTTAATTATACATTTTTTTTTTTTTTCCTTCTGATATATTGAAAACCATACAAAAACTAGCAGTAGTATTACAGGTGCTGGTTTCCCTTGTTTTTCAGTAACCTGATAATGTCATTTAAATAGAGGGAGTGGAATTGTGAGGTGCTCATAAAAGATGGTTGGCATCTGATTTGAGGAAAGCATACTTCCTTTCTTATCAGTTTTCCAGTGCTTCTTAATGAACAAAGGATGGATTTGAATTTTGCTTGATTTTCTTTCTCTCTTCTATATATAATGTAATCATATTTTATGCTTTAATAGATTGGTGAATTACTGTTGGTATAAGTTAAGCAAATTCCTCTATTTCCCCTGCCATTCTCCAATTAGGCTAGTCTCTCTCGCTCTTTCTCTCTCTCTTAAAGTATAACAGTGACCACCCCCCCCCCCCCCCCCTACACCTTTGGTAACTTAACAGTTACACAAGGGTTAATTTATACATTTTTTTTTTTTTTTCCTTCTGATATATATGAAAACTCATACAAAACTAGCAGTAGTATTTACAGGTGCTGTTCCCTTGTTTTTTCAGTTAACCTGATTATGTCATTTAAATAGAGGGAGTGAATTTGTGAGGTGCTCATAAAAAAGATGGTTGGCATCTGATTTGGGGAAAGCATACTTCCTTTTCTTATCAGTTTTCCAGTGCTTTCTTTAATGAACAAACGGATGGATTTGATTTTGCTTGATTTTCTTTCTCTCTTTCTATATATAATGTAATCATAATTTTATGCTTTAATAGATTGGTGATTACTGTGGTTATAAGCTCTTAAGTAAAATTCTCCATCTATCATTCTCCCACTGCGCAAGGCCAATATCTAGCTTCTGATCTCCCGCATCAGTTTCTCTCTCTCTCATTAACAGGTAGAACTCTTATGACACAGTGGAGCCACTCCGCCACCTCGCTCCACATCTAAGTGAATACGCGACCAACTATTTTGACTGGTATGTATGACCACCATGATGTAGGCAATGTCTTAGTCCAATGCAAAATATTAGTATTATTTTATCTTTGTGTAATGCCCTGAAATATGTCTCTCTCTTTTCGTTTTATGGTTCTCTCTATTGCCGTTGTGTTCAATAGGTTAATAACAGGCATCGTCGATAACTCCGCAATCTTCGCCACTAATCACAACAGTTACGTACTGTATAACTGACCACACATAAATGTAAAATCTACAAATCACAGAGGAGAAAAGAATCCGTGAACTTGTATCTTGTGAATAGTATACTATCCCACAGAGACGGAGTGAAAAAATGCATATAATAACTGAAAATATAATGTTGGAACAGATGCGTAGTGCCAGAACTAAGTGACAAGAAACTAGCATAGATCGCAAAGGATAAAGAAATCTTACATTATATCAAAAATAAAAGACAAACCATAGCACCAAAACACCTATCGACACAGAGAGGAGAACCTTATCCAATGGATGTAATAAAATAAAAAAAGAATTCAAATTGAAAGTTTGCTAATTGACTTGTGTTCGTACAGGAAGCATCTCAGGCCTTTCTTCCTCTTTGACATTAGTTTCTTTTTGGAACCTTTCTAACCCTCCACTATCCTGTCAAGCAAGGAAAAATATGATGAAAAAAAAAAGTTAATCAACCTCACTGTAAGTAAAGATAGAGATAGGAGAATAGTCAAAACATCAGTAATATCCTCGATGTTATGGATGAGAACGAATATGGACAGACGAAGAAAGTGTTATCATTATGCTCTTATTATCCTTTTTCTGTTACTTTCATGTAAAGGAAAATATTCCCTGACCTCTTGTCCTAGAATGTCTGAATAGGCGTATATAATCTTTCTCGATCGAGTCTTAAGACGCTTACAAGAGAAATGATTTGATCTCATAGTTTTTTTTTTTTTTTTTTTTTTTTTGGTTGTTTTCAAGTATCAGGGATGGAGAACTCGAACTTGCATACATATACTTATACTGACAAATTAGACGAACTACGGCTGAACTTGTATCTTGAAATTCTTCCTAAACGGTGAATGCATATTTCGTTGGACAAGTCTATGCCAAAGATGAACTACATTGAAGTTGAAATCTACATTTATCAAAAAAGAAATGGCACAAACATCGCCATGAAGAAAAAAAAAAGGGATGAATTTGTATGGCTTGTATGTCGGACAGTTCTTCAGCCTTTCTTCCTCTTGACATTAGTTTTCTTTTTGGACTTTCTAAACCCTCCACTATCCTGTCAGCAAGGAAAAATATGATGAAAAAAAAAAGTACCAACCAGTATAAAATATAAAATATCAACATAGTATCCGTTTTTGAGACAAATGACAGAGGAAAGTTTTCATGTTTTTACCTTTCTGTAATTTCTGTAGGCAATTTGACCTGTCAATTCTTGCCCATTTTTCGAGACATAAACCTTCAAAAGATCAAGGGATGATTATGAAAGCTACAAATCATCAAGGGGAAGAAAATGGTACACAAGATAAACTGAAATAAAACCAAAGACAACAGCAAAAATATTGATGTGAAAAGAGCATGGAGAACGTAATTCCATACTTTTTCCAGCAAGATTATAACCTAATTTGCAGTTGTTAGTAAATCTATGGGTAGTAACATAGTTTAACACATAAACTATGATTTGCCACTACTAAATTTCACTGTTGTTGCAACTTTCTCATAGTGGCACAGTGATGGTGAAGTTCAGGAAAATTAAAAGTTTAAAACTACTCGTGGTTTTCTTGAAACTAAATTTCCCCCTCTTGCATTCCAATTGCTGCTAACCGAATAAAGGATTTATGAATTTGTTGTTAGTTAAAAGATTTGAATGTTATCCATTAAAAACCATCCACAGGAAACCCAGCCTGTGGAATCTGTACTACAGGTTGAAATATCGAAAGCTGAAAAAGTTTAATCCATTAAAATTTTCATTTCATAAAACAGTATTAAACATACCTTTTTCCCCTCAGAAGATGTAAACCAGCGACCAGCAGCTTGACCAGTTGCATGAACACGTCTTTTCCCAGCATCCTTGGGAATGGTACCACTGCTTCTGGGGTCTACCCAGCTTTGAGAAGTATGGGTGACTTCTTTGGCATTTGATTTCTTTGATTTATTTCTTCCCCTTGTTGAGCCTTTTTCTTTGTTGTTTCTCCGATGCTGCCCCTGCTTATTAGCTTCTCCATTGAATTGACTCCTGAAATGACAGTAAGAACACATTATAATGCAATTGACACTTTGGATACAGATGCAACAACCTTAGTAGAAGGAATGTAAAGCCAATTACATGTAATTAATAACTGATTCACTAGGCTGCTGGTTTTCTTTGTTACCAACGCCCAGGGGAGAAAAGTTGGGTAAGCGATTGCGAACTAGTCTCTGAATCCTTGGGTCGTTATGGAAGAAATAATGATGAGCTGGAGGAAGAGAACCAGCCACATTGCAGTCTTGCTCAAAGTCAGTGATACTATTTGTGCCCTGATGACAGCCCACACTGTCACCTTTATATAGACTACTCCCCAATGTCTGAGCTGCATTATTATCTCGAAGGGACTGGAAATATTCTTCACAGACCTCATCCAGAACAGGAGTTGGAATGTGAAAACTCTTTATTGGACAGAAATCTTTCCACAGATCATCATTTTGATGCTTCTCTAATGATGGATTTCTCTTTTGTTCACTTGGTGGACGCTGCTGATCCTTCAAGAATGAATCAGTTCTTGGAGTCTTTCTGCTTACATCTTTATTCACAGGAAGGTCTTCAGAATCAGAATCAGAATCAATTAACTGAAACCTTCGAAGAGGGCTAACGGTTAACTTTGGAAATATCAACCCATTCTGGCTTGTCCCTAAACAGGAAGATGATGGAGGATCTGAAGCCTGTCCTATTTTCCTTTTCTTTAACTGGTTTGATGATTGAGCAGTTAAAACCCCACAGCCATGCAGTGGAACCTTTGAGCTACTATGTACAAAATCGTGCTGTGTTGATGGACGTGCATCTGCTATTGAGAAAACAGCTTAGATCATTGAAAACATTAACCTAGAAAAATAACTGATTGTATATATGTACACAGGATGAAGTTGATGGATAACTGAGTAAAAGACAGCATATATATTCAACTGCATGAAGGCACTTAGTTAGTATAGAGTCATTAGGAACAGTGCAAATGATTTTGTGAACATCCAAGACTTAGGTAAGTTCATCTGAGTTGACATTTAAAATATAACAAGTCCTCTTCACCAAATTATACTACAAACAAGAAATGAACCAATCTATCAACAGAAATACAGATATGCAATGAATTATAATTGAGCAGTGAGATCAGTAGAATCTGTAATACAAATGGAAAAGAATTCTCAGAAGAAATGTAAAGCCAACAAGGATTATAAGCAGTTGTTGATGACTCTTACTGTTAAAAGTCACAATCAGACATGGAAACTGATTGCATATAGCAAAATTTCAATGTGTTTAGTGACAAAAAAGTGAATTCCTATGTTAGCTGACTTGAGCTGAGACCATGTCTAAAGCAAAGATTTTGCTTGAACTCAGGGATTGCCTGGGATGATGCTGTAACTCAGCACACATATATTCTCATTGGCAAGAAGGCTAGGTCATGTAACTTAATACGTCATTACATTAATTGTCAAATAGACAATTATTGGAAACAATTTCCTGAGCTGGTGAAAAGCATTGGGGATTCAAAAAAATCCAGATACTAGTTGAATTATATACTTAAACCCTAAAATTTAGGGGTTACTTTTGCAACATGTGACAATCAACATCATTACCAAGAACTAAACTTTATTCATATTCCTAACTCTTCGTATAAACAATTACCGAAATTGTAGATCCAACCTAATCCTGTGTTTAAATGTCACAAAATTATGTATTAACCTAATGTTAATATTCATTAAATAACATAAAAGAAAATATAGTTTGATTAATAATTTAATATCACCTCTAATAAAATCTTCCTGCGAAGAGAAGTCTTCAATGTCATCATCACAAGTATCACCAAAAACAGTTTGTTCGTCTTTCCTTTTCACTCTCGCAGGTCCTCGTCTCAGGCGCTTGAATATAAGGGGCGAACCGGACCCAGATTCAGGATCCGAATCGATAACCTGAAGACCGGAATCATCCACAACTCGAGATCCTAAATCATCTTCTTCCTCAACATCTGGAGCTGGATTGAAAGTGGAGTTTTGATGCTGTCGAGTGGGTATTTGGGGTTCGGGTTCGATGTCAAAACCGAGAGAGAAAGATGGAGGTTCGATATCGGCCATTTCGGACACAGAGAGAAAGAGGAGATAGAGAAATTTTAATGGCGGAGGATGAGATGTTGCAATTTTGGCGCGCTAATCAGAGAATTTTCGGAGGGTAATTTCATTTGATCATTTTGAAAATCTACCGATCTTTTCCCTCTTGCTAGGTACTAGCTAGCGGTCGATTAGTAAAGTTCCAAAAGAAACAAAAAGGTGTCGTTTTGAAAGATAAGGGAAAACTTCACGAACGACAACGAAAGTTTTCCTTGCTGTTTGTAAACGACATGGAGGGAATTACCTGTCATTTCTTTTACTTTTCTAGAGCAGCAAGCAGCTAATAATCCGTGTTAATTTAAGTTATTAAAGAAATAAATTTAGGAATCCAAAGTTAGCGGGACAATGATAAGTTAACAACTGAGAAAAAGGCCATTGGGCCAAGATAAAAAGAAAAGCCTATAAAGAAAAGTAACCCGGCCCATGAAGTTACCACCTGAATATAATTAAAACCTCAAAATCACCAATGACGACATTTTTTCTTGTTTTTCTAATTTAGAACTGAAATTATATAATTTATTTTAAATTTTTAAATTTTATAGCTTGAATAAATAATAACAGTAGTAAATATTTTAAATGATGATGATGATGATAATCATTTAGCGTGAGCTCATATTAGACTAGCTGTCACTGCCTTCATCTTCATGTCCACATCACAAACCATGAATTAAACTAAACCCTAGCCACCATTAATGTTGACGTTGACCACCGTGACAGACTTGACTAACCGCTAGCCGCCATGTCCACCTCTACTTTGGCAACTACATATTCTCAAATTAAGTGATCTCATACTCTCATCCATTGTCCTAAATGATAAATCCATTCCAACTTATTTCTCCTCTTTCCCTCCTTGAAGGTGGAAATTAATTAATTCACATTGAATATTTCCTTCTTTTTTTCCAATTTTTTAAATAAAATTAGCGCCTAAAAATAAAACATTTCTTTTTTTTTTTTTTACCAACCTTTTGCTTTTGATAATTTTATTTTTTACCAACCTTTTGCTTTTGATAATTTTATATATATCTATATATATATATATATATATATATATATATATATATATATATATATATGATGTTCTCAATAGCAAAAGAATAGAACACGAGCTTTATTTTATTTTATAGATTCAAAAGAATGTTAGCCGTCAGAGATTCAAAAGCTTAGTTTGACAAGGAACAGATATAGTGTGTGTGTGTGTTTATATATATATATATATAAGATTCTCATCTTATAGAAAGACTCTCCAGTATTTACATATACAGTCAAAGTAGCATATAAGACATGTTGAGTTCCCTTAATTTGACATGGAAAAATGAAACCTACGAAAGAAGAGGAAGACCATACTCTCAATAATTAATAATATATATACATGAACGTGAAAGATTAATAAATAATTTTAATAATATTAGTATATGCACATGTTTTATTTTAATAATTTTAATAATTTCAATATTTTTTTTCCGGTTATGTGAAATTCTATTTTGATTTCTAGTATTTTTTTTTTCCCAAAGTTATATATATCATGTGTTTCAGACTGCTTTTTGGAGAAAAATATAGTAAAAAGAATTTTTTAAAATAATACTTTATTCGACAAACACATCTGGATTTGATTGGATAAGATTTTATTTTATTTTTCTAGATAAATTGTTTTGGTCTTAACTCCTAATTAAGCATCCATGAGCACCAGCAGATCTTTCAAGGTGGCCGGCCGCAGGTCCGGCAACTGTGTTGTTGAGTTACAATTTAATTCACTAGTTTTACTTATAGTTCATTTGAGTCGCCGTATTAGCTTGCCGTCGAATCCGCTCGGTTATGATAATTAGTATGCTTATGATTTGTATTTTCTCTTCCCAATTATTGGTCTAATAACAAAGGCTTGATTGGCGGCCATCTCCACTAGCTACTGTGCTAAAAGAAAATATGAAATTTACTTTATTTTAGATGGGTCTTGCGTGAATTTCCTGATCCTTTCTTTTCTCATACCATCAATCTCTATCTAATAAAGTCTTGTAGCAGAAGTGATGAGGTGGACCTTTGAGCCTGCCATTTTGGAAACAGCAAAGGCAAATCTTAACTGATTAACGTACCTGCAGGTCATCTTGAATTTGACCTAGCACAACTCTCCCATGTTCTATATTTTTATTTTGGGCTTAATTAATCTTTGGCTGATTACGATATATGCCTGTGGAGAGACTTATTCCACAATCATATATTTTCTTTAGTAGTTGAATGAAAAGAAAATTTGCACATGGCATGTTTAAATATTGGTAATCCCACTCATCACAAAAGCTACTAATTACCGTCTCGTATTAATTCAGACCTATTTAAACATTTTCGATGAGCATTTACTTATTAATTTTTGAGGATCGAATTCTCGATTTCATTTAAAAGATAACGTTAGTGCAATTCATCCACACATTAATTGGTATTATATGTATTTATTTAGTGCTAAAATATAGTAATAAAAGAAGATTTAGCGGCACTAATTAATTAGGATTAAGAGAATATTAGAATTTAAATCTAACCATCAACAAATGGTTTACTGAAACTATAAAAGAAAAAAAAAAAAAAAAAGATTTGTTGGCTAAAATCTTTATCCACATACAAACTTATCTAGACAGAGATGTAATTTTAACAAGAAAAAAGAAGAAATGAGCAGAAAGCAGATTGGTTTCTGTTGCATATAAGAATACGCAATGAGCAAAACCAGTATAGACTTTCTAGCTTCATTCCTCTGATCTATCTTTATACAAAAGAGCACCATATACAAAAACAAGCTATTGATCCTCAATAAAGCAGAAGGCAGATTCAATCATCACCGTCCATTACTCAGGAATACTCTGTAGATTAGGCCTCCACGACCGTTGATGTGTATCATACGGATCACTACTAACGTCCTTCATCAACTGGCCAAGTACTTGTTCTAATGATAATTCTTTCGTATCAATCCTACCAAGCAATTCTTGAAGCTGTTTCTTTGAAATCTTGATCTTTACTTCTGTACTTGAAGATTTCAAACCTTTATTTTGATTTTCAAGAAGCTCTTCTGCTTCTTCTACATTCAATCCCTTCTCTTGCCTTTTATTGCTTTTCAATAACTTTTCCGGCACGGGAGACCCCCAGTCTTCCCCGCCCCATTGCATGGAGGATTCACGTCGTAAACAATTTCCCATTAATTTTCTTTTCCTTTGTTTATTTTCTGGTGGTGGTGGTGGTGTTGTTGTTTGTTGATGTGGGTATATAGATACAGAGCAAAGAGGTTTTGGCTATGAAGAGAGAGGTGATGCGTTTTTATATAGGGAAGAGGGAAGGAGAGAGAGAGAGAGAGAGATAGAGAGACAGAGTCAAACCTAACATTTTGCCAAGATGGAATTGCTGGCTGACGTCGCAGATAATTGGTGTTGACCTCATAATGATGACTTGATAATTAATCCACATTTGATAATTTAATTATTCTTTTTTTTTCAAATTTTTTAAGAAAATTAAACTTCTGCTAGCAATATTATTTAAATTTTTTTTATATAAATTGTTTCCTCTCATCAATTTTCTGCTGGTCATTGTACTTTTTGATCTATTGGTGTATATTTCTTCCAGTTTCTTTCACAAAACATTTAAATATTTCTAGGTATTTCTCTATTTTCCAAACTTTTGCTTTTGATAATTAAATTACATATGTATGAATAAAAAAAATTTGCAAGTACAGAGAAAGCAGCATCAGACATGAGTACCCATAATTTGACATGAAAGATAAACTAAGCCTGCATGGAAATGGTGGCCTGTTTTTAAAATTACCTAGAAAGAATGTCGGAAGAGCCATTTCAAACATAACAACAGATCCATATGAAAGATCAAAACCAAAAAAAATAATAATATATGCACATGTTTTTTAATGTTTGAGACTGCTTTTTGGATAAATTATATAATAATAATATTTTTTTGGCTGCTTCATACTTTTAAATTGACAAAAATGAAGGTTTATCAAAACACATGCAATTTAAATTTAAGGGTTTGTCTCACCTTTTTTCTTCATTTTCCGATTCTGGAATTATTGGGATTAATGCAAATTATTTAAATAAAAAACTAATTAAGATTCAAATTCTAAAAAAAAAAAAAAAAAAAAAAAAAAAAAAAAAAAAAAAAAGGATTCATTCGGAAGAAAAAAAAAAAAAAAAAAAAAAAGGATTCATTCGAAAATTTACCCTCTCTACCAAAGACCAAGTACTTAAAAAGAAATACCGACTCAAATTATTTTACCATGAATAACTACAGGTAAACGAAAAACTGTTCAAACCAAAAATCAAGCTGGCGGTTCAACGAGCGGTTTGGTTCAGTGTCGGTTCTGCATTCAAAAGTTTGGTTTTTAGTGCTAGATTCTGTGTTATCCGATATTAACAAATGGAGCTGAAAAAACCGACAAAACTCCTTTAACATAATTTTTTATATTTTTCATGAATCATGGTTCAATTTCAGTCTGTTGGATCCATTTACCATCCAACTTCAGCTAATTTGGTTTGGTTTAACTGGTTCATCCTAAATTTTAGTATTCGATTCAATTAAATCAATTTGGTTTCCAATCGGCCTAAACCCGAAGGATTGGTCAGGCCTATGAATAACTATATTAACAACATATGCATGTGTAACTTTCTCTAAGATCAACAACAGATTTAATTAAAAATAAATAAATCTACACAGTTGCAATTTCTTTGAACAAGTCTAATTACTAATTAACCACTGTACTTCTTCAACTTCAGTAACTTTCCCAGCCCTTTCTCTTCTCATATACTATATCAATCTCTATCTATCTACTACATGCAGTCTTGTAGCAGAAGTGCTGACCTGGCCCTTTGAGCCTACCATTTTGGAAACAACAAATGCAACCTTAATTAATAGGAATTATTTTTGGTTTAATTAATTTTTGGTTGAACCAGTATATTTATAGACAGTAATTTTTCCAAATTTGATTTAAAAATAAAAGAAATTAGATCAAGGTTTGATATATTAGATATTACATATTGTTTTTACACACTTACTTTCTTTAGTGGTTGAATGAAAATGACATTTGCACATGACATGTTCTAACGTTGGCTATTCCACTCATTGCAAAAGCCACTCAGTGCCTCACATTAATCCTGAGTTAATCAGCCTCCTAATTTTTTTTAATTAATCCACATTAATAAGTAATTAACTAGTTATGGCTTTAAAAACAATCAAACACCACAATATCTGCCCTAACCACTATAATTATTATTGAAACATCACTGTTGTAAGTAGGTGCCTTATAATATAATTAATGGTGTCATCATTTTCTTTTTCTTTTTTTTTTTTTTTTTTTTTACATTCATTTTCTTTTTCTTTTTTTTTTTTTTTTTTTAAGTTATCAAACTTCATAATTTTAAAAATAGGTATGGGGATTGCGGTATTTAGCCTCTCATTGATATAAAAGTTTTTTTTTTTTTTTTTTTTTTTTTTTGAGTTATCAACTTCATAATTTAAAAATAGGTATGGTGGATGCGGTATTAGCCTCTCATGATATAAAAGTTTGATTATTTAAAATTTAACGGCTGATTAACTCATTAGTCGAATTTATAACACCTTTCAATTCTACCTATATGAATATAATTAGGCAATTAGCAAATGAATTGAAGATGATTTAGTGCCACTAATTAGGATTAAGAAAATATTAGAATTTGAATATAACTATTAACAATTTCTCTAGTGAGTTAAAAAAGAGTTGTTGGCTAAAATTATAATCCAAATTAAATACCAAGTTAGCTAGAGGGATATTTAATTTAATCTTAAAAAAGAAAAAAAAAAAAAAAGAATTTTCAATCTTTAACTCTAAAACCAAAAACATTGGTTTTCTTTGCAGATAACTATACAGAATGAACAAAACCAATAGAGCCTCCATAGCTCCATTCCTGAGATCTCTCGGTATGCAAAAGAAAACCATATACATGAACAAGCTCTAGATCCCTACTCAGGAATGCTCTGTAGATTAGGCCTCCACGACTGTTGATTCGTTTCATAACGATCACTACTAACGTTCTTCATCAACTGGGCCAGAACTTCTTCTAATGATAATTCTTTCATATCAACCCTGCCAAGCAATTCTTGAAGCTGTTTCTTTGAAATCTTGATCTTTACTTCTTTACTTGAAGATTTTAAATCTTTGTTATGATTTTCAAGAAGCTCTTCTTCTTCTATATTCAATCCCTTCTCCTGCCTTTTATTGCTTTTTAAGAACTTCTCCGGCACCGGCGACCCCCAGTCGTCGCCGCCCCATTGCATGGAGGATTCATGTCGTAGACAATTTCCCATTATTTTAGTTTCTTCTCTTTTTCCTGCTGTTGGTGTTTGTTGGCGTAGGTGTATGTATAGGTAGAAAGCAAAGAGGAATTGGATTTGGAGAGGTAGTGGGTTTTTATATAGGGAAGAGGGTAAGGAAAGAGAGAGAGGGTCAAACCTAATCTTTTGCCACGTAGGATGGAATTGCTGGCTGACCTGGCAGTAATTGGTGTTGACCTCTGTGTGATGATAATCAATTTTGGATTTGATTTTGGGTTTTCAATTGGAATTGCATGTGATGACATGTTCGCATAATTTCCTATCAGCAATAGTGATCTACTAACGGCTCAGCTGCGCCTGCCATGCATAAATGGCTAGGCTCAGCTCAGCTACGACCAAAACCAGCACATTTACATTTAATAAGCCAAAGCCGGCTAACTAGTTAGCCAGCCAGCTGCCAGGCTCAAAGCTTGAAACTGATGAGATGGCGCCTCAAGTGTGAACGCAGTTGGCAACGGAATCTTTCTAGTGTGAACGCAAATTAGCGAAAGGAATCTATCAAATCCTTACCTCTTAGATGCCCAATACTATAAATTAGGCAATTGCATTATATATTAGTATTTTATTATTACTTTCACGTGTGCTGCCACTTCACATGATTGTCGATAAACGATAATTATCATTAGCTAAGCACTTTATAATTAAATTAATTAATTTATAATCATCATTATTATAACTATGAATTGCCATAATCTCATTCATATCCACTTTGTTTTGATTCTCTCCACACCAAGATTGAGACATAGCCTCCTTTTCTTGCTTTCAAAAGAAGATGAGAGTCGCAAATCTATAAAGCTCAAGTAATTTTTTTATATATTTTTTAAGAAGAAATCAAAATTAGAAATTTAATTATGAGGAAATTATATATAAATATATGGAATATACATTAATAAATTTCTATATTTCTATATAAAAAAATCTAATAAAAAAAAGCTATAAATTTAATTTACAGTATCTAATTAAATTGACAGAGTATAATACATGTGCCACCAGCGATTGCTCGTTCTACTTGATAGTATTCATGGCTATTACTCGACTTCATAATTTATTATACACAAGTAATTATCGAGTAGGTGATGAGATTATATTTTCATGATTAATAATTAAAATTAATCCAAATATTTATGGATTTGGTGCATGGGAAAAACACTTGTAATGAGAAATAATCATACATCCTGACATTAATCTCATATTTAAGGATGCAGAAATACTCTGCGAAAATAATTAACTATTTATATTACTTAAAATAATAAAAAAATTAATGGAGACATGGGTTTGAAATCTAATGACATTTATACAAAAGGTTAGGAAGAAATCACGAGGCTAAGTCTTATGATCTCACTAAACATTAAGGACAAACAATTCTCTATTAAGTTATATTATTGAATTTAGGCACCTCTCTTTATAATGGATGGTTTGGTGGGTCCAAACCAACAACTGCTCATCCACAAACCCACAAATCCCCCATTCTACGATTCAAAAATCTAAACCCACCAAAATATTTTTGATGCCCTCTTCTTCCACCTACTACTTCGTGGCCTCCTTCTACATGGCATGCCATATTGTATGCCTCCCACAAACATTACTTGCCTAAAAATGTTGGTGTTGCTGATTGAACTTCAATCACTTTCTTATATCCACTCATAGCTAAGATGGGCATTCAATTGATTCTGTTCAAATTGAATCAAATTCATATAAATTGAATATGAAACACCAAACTAATTAAATGTCTTATAGATAATGAAGGACTACCCACTTGACAAGCATACGATAGCCCAACACATGGGTCCATTAGTGTATAACCCAATACGGAAACTTTCACCATGCA